TGTGTGTTTTTTCTGGTACATTTTGGCTTATTCAATAACGTGCGAGTGCTAGCCCATCTTGGGGTGAATTTAATATTTGCAAGTAACCGACTTGACAACATGTTACCATTCAGACAGAATCAGGGCTGCCTGGATTATTCTTTGTACGTGCGACGGCCTCTGGAAACACGATGTTCTTCCATGGAGTGGAGCGTTGGTGCAATGGTTAGCGCATTGCTTTGTAAACCAGGCGGCCTGCGTTAAATTCCCGGCCATAGCTAACATCAGTGAGCGAAGAGTGTGGTGAAGTATGGTCAAACAACACCTATAGCCGACGCATTGTCAGGAGGCATTCATTCAGCAGTAAATTGACAGAGAGCTGTATGTATAGAATTATTTATTTTATTACTCCGTGAGCAATGCGTTTTTGTGTTTGCTATAAAATTGACGGGGGGGTGTTTTCTTTGTGTTTTGCGGATGCCTCTCAGACGTAAACGTTGACCATCAAAGCACAACTGCCTGGTCGAGATGGCCCTTGTTTACCGTCTAAAAATAAATCAGAGGCTTGTGTGCTTCATGGAAACTCCACTTGGATAGTGGGCATGAATTAACCATACACACGCGTCTGCAGTACTTGCAGCAATTTGGCTTGGAATGAGGAATGCAACGGAATGTCTCGTGTCTTGACAAAGAAAAAAATATCTGCAGATAAAACGTTGCGTAATGGTGTGACTGGCATTGGCCAAATATCCCTAATTTCAACAAATAAAACCGCCCTGCAAACCACGCAATGGGGATGACACCACAAAATCACCCCCGACTGCAAACGGTTAGGTAAACAATCACGCTTATGATAAGATAAACGTGTATTAATGAAACATCGGTGTGAGTTCCGACAGCACACCGATGTTGAAGCATTTCGCTCTTTCCCCGATCGAGGTTTCAAGTTCTGGTTTCTAAAACGCGTCGTGCTGCTGGAGAGAAGCAACAACACGCTGGTATTGCCCCCTTTTGGTGTGGGTCCACCACTGCAGCAGTGGAAACTGGAAATTTGCCACAAAGTCCCATTATAAGTAGTAATAATGTTAACAACGCCAGCATGATGAAGGGCTCTTCATTTGCATTGATAAAATCAACATGAGTATCGCAAAATGTTTTAATCGACATAATGGCATTTTTATGAATGCTAAATATTTTCGAATATGGTCAAATTACAAGTAAGCCAACACTTAATGCTGTAGAACTAATGTATGCATGTTCAGAAATGCGTGTATGCTGAAATTATTTCGCACCGTACATAACCAACCGTGCTAATCGGAGGTGGGGGGGGACACACACATTATTGAACTTTGTTTCCTGAAAACCAAATATTGTGCACACACAAATACAATGACATTAGGCTTGTATGTGGAAAATTGAGAGGACAATCGTGTGAGGTTTAAGTTTTATTTTGTATAGTATTTTATATATCTCTCACAGTTTAAAAATATATGCTTAAAAAAATCTCAACGAATAATTTGTTTACATATTGATCGTAGCAAAACCATCACGATTTATTTTAAAATGTTAAATTAAAACAACAGTACACTTGCGCTATAATTTTAAATACACGAGGAAAAGTGTCAAAACATACACATTGTATTTTTAACAATTCATTGGAACATATATTTTTGTTAAATTTAAATATGCTCAAAGTCTATTCGTTACCTTTTTAGTGGCTTGCAATTATTTTCTAATTAAAGGACATTCATAAAACAGATCAATCCACCGCGTGAGAGTGAAGAATGCGACCTTTGCATTTCTATCCTGTTGGCAAGGGCGATGTAAATGCAAGTACAGTACTTGGAAATAGCTTTGCGTATTATTAAAATTAATCTTATAAATTACCTCCCTCACCTTTCAAGGCTGTACATAAAGTAGCTATACAAACTCATGGGATTTTTTGCAGAGAATTGTGGGGAACAATTTTTTTTTCCTTTTCAATTAATAAGAATGTTGTCTCAGTCCATCAACCACCGGGCTTTCTGGACCAAGAGCCAGGGCACTTTCCGTCACCTTTTCTCAAATTCCAGCCCTTGCAACCATCCGCTCTATCAGCCTTTTCCCGATTTACCAATATGTTATAGCCATATGCACATTGAGCCCACTGCACACACACACACCGCATGCACCTGATGGTTGGCAATCAAGGACAGCTGTGCAGTTTGAGGGTCGTGAAGACTGGAGTTGAGAAACACTAGCCGACGATCTAGACCGATTTGAATCGTCTAGATGCCATCAGTGAATTCTGGGCTGTTCATCGACCCACGTTACGCAGCGTGATGTCACAGACAGGAGTCCATTCATCTAAGTCAGCGGTCGGCAACATGCGGCTCCGGAGCCACGTGCGGCTCTTTAAACGACGTCACGTCGTTTGTGCAGTGTTTCTCAGCTCTTTAAACGACGTGACGTCGTTTAAAGAGCCACGTCCGGCTCTTTAAACGACGTGACGTCGTTTGTGCAGTGTTTCTCAGATCTTTAAACGACGTGACGTCGCACGTACGGCTCTTTAAACGACGTGACGTCGTTTCTCAAAGACCACCGCCGTCTCGTATTCACCGCGTGCATTGCGGCACTTGAAATATTGATTTTTTTAACCGATTTTTTTTTAAATGGCTCTTCTTGTTATTTTTGGTTGCCGATCCCTGATCTAAACTACAAACAGCGAGTTTGTAGTGAGACACCTTATCATATGTAGACACACAATAAAAAAACACCGGTGTACGAATGAACATTTGATTCAGCTTTGATGTAAGCATATGCAGACTTTTATATACTGTAATAGTAAAAACTAAATCCAATTGAATGCGTACCAACATGAGGTAAACATATACTGTACAAATTGCGTATTTCCTTCAACACATACAACATTGTAATCTATCTCAAGCAGTAAGAAAAACTCTGCTAGATTAACACAGCTTTAAAAAATATAAAAACATCACATTGTCAATAATATTTTTTCTCTCAGCAATGCATCGATTCTGTTTGATCTTAGCTGGGGGTGCGGGGGGGGACACTCCGTGACTACATCTTTGACTTCACTGTGAAGAAAATAAGCGGCTGATGCAATTTCTGGAGCACTGATTACACGGACATTCCTAGAAAATAGTGGTGTGTACCAATTATATTAGTTCACTTTGAAAGCAACTCAAACATGATAAAGTGAATATGTAAATCAAGAGACTTTGACTCTCATTGTTTATATAATGTATACGTAGCTATTTGCTATGCATATGCTACGTTTTATATGAATCTACGTCAAAAACTTTGATATAAATACAAAACTAATCCTGAACACCTTACAGGTGAGACGCCTACAGCCACACCTTGAAGCGTGTGAGGTCTAATGCTGTGGATTTTGATTTGAAATCACTCTGCATTGTTTAAGAATACATGCAGCATGTGTTTACATGTTCAAGGATACATTGAGAATGAAGGCCTCTTTGCAAAACATTAAAAAAACAAATCTCATTTCCATCAACAAAAAAGCTTCTGTAAGGCCACTGCATAAGAGCTTGCATATATCGTCTGCATTCCAAGAAATATGAGCAAACTGGTGTATTATTTATATGCATTACAACGTAGCATACACAACCTCGCCCACACCCAGTGCAGTGTATTTTACATGACAACTGTAATTTCCCACAGATGCTCACATATCCAACCTTTTGACAGATCCACATAAATCTCAGTCGGATATGTGATGTTCAAATGTATATGCATGCGCACTTAGATTTTTCAAATAAATGTGTTTCATTGAAGAGTGGTGATGCAATGTTTAGCTCACTGTGCGACAATAACGGGTGCCTGGGTTACATTCCTTGCCATGCACATTCGGAAGAAAGTGATGTCTGCACTTTACCTCGATCTCTCCTAGGTCTGCTGAGCCTACAATTCCTACCCGATAGGATCAGTAGAGCTGGACACAGCACTGGAGAGACAGAGGTGGCTGGAGGTAAGCGGCCAAACTATTTCCTCATTGCCATGCTGGCAATAATTGGCGCCTGCTAACAGCACTTGCACTGTCAGTCGTAAGGCTAATCAAGACATATTTGTTGTATACAAGAACAGGCATGGTCAGGTTTTAAGACACTGCATGATAAAGGCGACATCATGAATATTGAAGCGAATGCACCGGTGGTGCAGCAGAGCAACAAAGGGTGCTGCAAGCTCTTTGCATTGCTTCCACAGCCAGTGGAAATCCTGCTGTCTCTTTGCTGGAACCACGGCCAGAGAAGAGAGTCTAAACCGATCCCCCATGAGTTACCAAAATAGTGATTCATAGCTCCCGTCTGCAAACCGAGCTGCACGTGCTTTTTACCTGGGCCATCACGTGCCGTCGCGGAGTCAACATGAAAGCGAGGGACGTGACTTGTTCAAGAAAAACCATGGTGGGAAAAAATACAAAACCAACAAATGTTAAATGAGCGTGGTCAAACCTAACCCCCCCCCTCCCCGCACTGCTCATGGCGGATGGAGAGCCGGAGAGAGAGAGAGAGGGTTTATGGGCTGAGACCTTGGACCCTAATAGTTCATCGCGTATGTGACCGATGACCCTGGACTACAGTAAAGCCTCTAGAAGGCAGAACAATTTTGGGGAGAATATTTCCCATTCTGGGGGATGATGTTCTGCATACTGTAACTCGTTCAATAAAAAATAAAATAAAAAGCTAAATTTTACTTTCATGTAAATATCATTACATTTATACGTAATTAAACTCCAAGATATTTGATTCATACTTTATAACAATTGACTAAATTTTGATTTAAAGGTTTCGTGACTGCAGGGATTCATATTCTTGGTTCTTTCGGTAAAATCACGTAGAAGGGAAACAATAAAATAATAAAAACATAAAACAATAAAATTCTCACGACGTTTCGACTGCAACACAAGCAATCATCATCAGGTGTGAAAACCACAGCAATAAATTGTTTTTTTCAAATTTTCTTGTTGTGGTTTTCACACCTGATGATGATTGCTTGTGTTGCAGTCGAAATGTCGTGAGAATTTTATTGTTTTATATTTTTATTATTTTATTGTTTCCCTTCTACGTGACTTTACCGAAAGAACCAAGAATATAATTTACTAAATATTTGCAGCTTACATTTTATATACATATATTTTTTATCACTACCATATAGTGTAGTCTGAGCGAATTTACATCACCATAAAGCATAGGATGACGGCTGAGCTTCACTGGGCTTGGAAGGCCAAATAGATAATGACGGGCTCGAAACACTTATTTTATTTGTAAATTAAACTTAAAATCAACGTAAAAAAATCACGCAGTATCCAAGAGAACAGATTCCCAAATTCCTGGCATAAATAGCTTTAGAATCGTTAGTGCACATACTGCACGCACAGCGTCTCTGACTTCAAGCAACTTAATTCGCCCGTGAACAGTTTTCTGTAGGGGTTTTTTTGTTGTTAATGATCTCAGAAAAGCCCCCCAGCTCACGCCAGATTCACGCTTACTCGAGTCTAAATTTTAGAGGTTTGACTCTGCTCTTGCTGTTAGTAGCCACTTACTAACCCAAACCCTGTACCAGCAAAGCCTGGTTCCAAATGGTCACGGAAACAAGGTGTCAGCAAGTGTGCTGCGTGTGACCAGAACCAGCTTGCCATTGCGCGACAGCATCACAGCCAAGGAGGCTCCCAGGGAGATGATCCAGAGCGGTGGCGCTACACCAGGGCGTTGTAGAACTCCCCGGCATGGGCCACGTCTGAGCGGAGGGCTCGCGACAGCTTCTTGGTTCTCCGACGGACGCACTCAGCTGCCTCCATGGCCCGGTCGAGTGATGCGAACAGGCCAGGGTCGTACGACTGTAGGTAGAGAATCAGCTGTGCTCAGCCACCGAGTCACTTCCACCAAGCACAGGGGCGAGAGCCCAACCGAGACTGAGATGCATCTCTTTTGCAGCAACAGTAACAGCAATGGAAAGGTGTGGGTATCATAAATATCTCCCTGAAAGAAAAACAGAAAGCATTTGCCCTGATTGCGTGGTGAAAATGCCACATTCTCACTGGCAAGAACAATGTTCACTTTCTACCTTGCATTGACCACAAATGAACCCATTTGATGTACTTCCACCCCTTCCCTACCTCGCAACCTCAATTGAACCCACAACATTGAGTTGGGTGCTCTGTCTCAGTGACCCTTGACTGGGTAAGGAACAAAGTGGCGCCATGAATGCTGATAGTTAATTTAGAATTGTGCCAAAGCCTCATCGAGTCTCAAGACTCTTTTGCAGGAGGGCCCTGCCATCGGGATGTCTGATTATTCCATTAAAGAGTGTTTGGCTTTTGCGAGGAAACTGTATTACCCAGAGAAAGCCCACGAATACGAGGAGGTGACATACCTTAACGCAACTTTTGTTTAAACCTATTGCCGTACTGCTATCTCCTGGTCATTTGCCAGCTCAATTCAACACCTGGTATTCCTTGGCAGTAACCCATCTAAGGGCTGACTCAGCTCAGTTTTTCTTGGTTTCCAAGACGTCGTGAGTATTTAATAAACCTCTTTCAAGGAAACAAAGAGAAAAACAATTGTGAACATGAATTTAAAAAAATTCCACAACTACTGTACGTCACAAATTGAACCAATGAAATTAGATGTTATTGACACCGGAACAAGCATACAACATTCTGCAATAATTCTATCCAACGTACAAAACCACTGCAAAACACACCTGCCTATATCTTCCATGCCACCACAGAACAAGATGCAGCTGAATACATTCTCAAGTTTTTGCATTTGTGCTGTTTCTCTAATACATTTGCAGGTGGTAAACAAAACATTTAAAGGAAACAATGATACATTTGGCAGTTTTGCCTTCATAGCCATTTCAGCATTAAGATAAGACGTTTAATGACGGGAAAAAAAAATCACAGGCGTCCCCGCATTGTGCTCGCTCGACCTTGGATCAATTTACCGGATCCATGCTGTTCGTGCTTCTGCTAAATTGACTGATGGCCCGGCCGCCGGACTCATAACCTAACCCCTGCCGCGGGGCGGCAAGGGTTAGGCTCACGTGGCGGGGCGCTCGCTTCCCGTGGCCATGAGCCCCCCCCCCGCCCCCCGACGCCGCAAGACAACGGCGAGCAGCGTGGGCGCCACGTGACACCCCGCGTCTCCGCAGGGGGACGGCCCGGCTGCTTCCCCGCGTCTCCTTCGTTAGCGGAAAGTAACGGATCACCCTCACGCCGTTTCGTCGCGGCAGGGCATTCGTCATCGTTCAGCTCTGGTGTGGTTTGGTTGTGCCGCGTGTTGGTCGGTCCTGACGTCTGCTGCGTCTGTCCCACCCGTGGACAGACTCACCCGTGCCGTAGGAAAGTGGAATTCCCATATTGATGATTAAATTACTCCTGCGTAGGGTTTGCCCGTATGCTGTATGGTGATATGATGTGCGTTCGGGCTGTACCGTTTCGTTCCACGTGCTGGGAGCTTTTTCAGGAACTGAATTGGCAAGAGCTGGCAACATCAGTACCAGCAGGCAGCACTATATAATCAGCATTGGCTCGCCACTGATGTTCACTGTGGTTGGAAATCAAAGCCGGATTTGTAGCACAATGAGCTAACCACTGCACTAGCCTACGCCTTTTTTTATTTTTTTTCGTGCATGACCTAAAGGGCACAATTTATCTGGAACCTTTAATGCGTATTGGAAACGTAGTCCATAGTTGGGGCAGCTGTTGAAAATGCCTGCCACCTTACGTGTGACTTGTTCTATGATTAACAACCCCAAGGGCACCTGAAGGGTGCAGCTATAGCATTAAATTCAGCAGTTTCTATGGATCCGTGTGGCGGAAGAAGTTTTAGTTGAGCAGAAGAGGAATTTTGTATTCGAGTCGATGGCCAAATCACCCGGAATGACCCCTAACTTTTCAGGTCTCGGAAGCTAAGCAGAATTGAGCCTGGATAGTGCTTGGATGAGTGAGTGACCACCATGCACAAACTGGTTGTCATAGAGCCGTGGGGCTATGTGGTGGGTAGCAGAGGGAAGTGCAGCCAAATAAATTGTTGTACTGCACGTCGATGTTCCCACATCTATATGCCCCGCATTCAATAACACGCACTGACTAGTCTGGTGAAGTGTGCTCAAATAACCCCTGTAACCTGTATGGGATGGGGAGGCACTCATCCAGTGGTGGTTTGACAAAAAGGGCTGCACATATACAAGCTTATGTTTATAATATTAAAAAAAAACATGCCATTAAAATGTAACAAGATTCAACGGCTCACAAATACAGCACAATCCGTCAGCTGAAAGGTAAAAGCCAGATATTTTTCAGAATGCAGGACACTGACAAGAAGCTGCACCAGAAATAAGGGGAGGTGAGTGACCACAGCTAACTGTGGATCGCTATTAACACCCGCATTTTATAGGCAAGGTGACCACAACTAATCCACCGAGTCCACTAATTTGCAGCGGCAGAATTGTAATCGTTGATCTCGATGCAGCAAGTTATATAACCAAAAAAAGGAACATTGTGAAGGATTCACATTTCAGATAAATGCTGCCCATCAAGAAAGGCAATTGGCAGTGCTCTGTTAGCGCAATTCTGTAATGAAGGCATTCCGGTGGAGATATCAGAAGCAGCAGTCACGATCGCAGTAATTAAGCTGAGGCTCATTGCCATACTTACACCGCACAGGGGCAAATTAAAGACACGCTCCCAATGCTCATTTGAGCCCATGTGGAGAGCCCCAGTGCCGCTTTTTAATTTACGAAATTGTCTTTTATGTGAAATAAAATCTGCACTCGGCTTCATTACACGGAAAATGGACAATGGGTGCAGATTTGGCCGCTTACGCGTGCCTCACCTTTCGCAGACATTTAAATACAATTCATAGCAACATACATCTCTATCTTGCGTCCGCTGGGAGGAGGAGGAGGCGGTGAGGACAGCAGGTTTGACATAAGTTCCGAGATAGCGGAGGAGCGCCTGCGGTTCATTACTGGGGCATCCAGGGAGAGCGGCAGGCAGTTGCTGTCAGGGGTAAGAGGTGGCAAAGCCACATGGCCACCAAGCGCACACGTTTGCACAGGGCACAGCTGTGCAATATAGCCATTTGTTTATTTATTATTATTCTTGTTCACCAGAGAAAGACTCACAGAGTCTCAAGGCTCTTTTTCAGGAGGGTGCTACCAAGTTTTCGCATTAGGAGGGTGATGCTGCTGCTGCTGCTTTGTGTAATCTCAATTGAGTAATTTGCAGGTGATATCTGAGCGTTGGGATGTTTGGCTAACACCAGTGATGTTGGGAATATTTTTTTTAACTACAGGAGGAAATTGGGAAAACCCCGAGGAGAACATACAAACTTTACACGAAAAAAAATCAGGAATCGAGCACAGGCTCTCCTTGCCACGAGGCACAAGTGGTACGACTGTGTCACCCTGCCGCCGAAAAACAACACACCGCAATGTTGTGATGGATCGTACAGTGCAGGCAAAGGTGAATGCCGTATTGGTGTAACAGTCGCACATTGGATTTATTATTCAGATGCCAATGGTTCGTTCTCCCGGCGCGGTAGTTGAAACAATGGGGCAAGTTGATTCAATCCCTTCCGTCTCTGCCCACCCAGCAGTATAAATGCGTACCACCACAGTGAGTCGATTGTGAGGTTGCGTGTGGTGGGATAAAGTGTGGGTACTCCCGCCTTTTCAACCGTACAACACGATGTCCACTGTAATTGTATCGTCCTTTAATTGTAGTGCTCATTTATTTTTTTTAACACCTTCCTTTCGCTTGGCACCAAACATTTGAGCCACCGGCCGCAATTCGCTTTCTTCGCCTTGCGGCTCTGATGCCACGCACCTTCCACAAGATGTCCCTGGCGGTCACCCAGCGGCCGTCTGCATCGCGAGCGGGCCCCACGCTGTGGCTGCGTCGAGTCCGCTCCGGCGGTTGCCCCGGCACGCGGTCAACCGCGGCATAGAGACGCGCGGGAGACACGGGCACGTACGTGGGGGCAGCGCTTGCATAATATCTGGGGGGAAAGAAACAAGACGTACAAACGGAGACACCCCCGGTCCGTAATGGAGATTTTCGGGGTGTAAGATCGCGCGACCAGAAATGGTTCGTTACACCCGCCACCGACCCGACACAGCCAATTGGTAAGGTTTGTCATGTAAATATAACGCGCTATTTTCGTTACTGGTACAGCACACTGGTGTGTTGGAGAGTAAACCCACATCTACAAACTGGGATACGACGTTTTGTCGGAATTACAACCAGCAGCCAGAGCTATGGAGAGATCCTCCTGTTTAGGTCTTAAATAGAGGGATAGATGTGATGTCATCACTTGTGAGCCAATCAGGTGTGAAATCCAGAGGCGAATAATTACTGGAGCAACGTTGTATTCGAATTGAAGATGTTGTGGGTTTACACTCAAAGACACCAGTGTGCTGAACTAGTTACTGGAGCAACGTTGTACGCGAATTGAAGATGTTGTGGGTCTACACTCCAACACACCTGTGTGATGAACTCGTAACGAACTGGCATGTTTTGTTTACGTGACAAACCTTACTTGGCTGTCGGATGGTGGTGGGTTTAACGACACATTTTTTTTTGCCATCTTAACCAAAAGCCTCTGTTACGGATAATATTAGTAGCGAAAGCAGGTGGTACCTCTGGTGCCGTCTCACTTGCTGTGGTGGCTCAGTCCACGTGACTATCATCGTCTATTGCTTGATATCACACCTCTTCCGCGCCGTGCGTGGCCAAACGTGCTCATCGGAGGTGCACCTCAAAGTATGAAGCAAGCTCCAAAAGCACCAACGGAATTAAGAAGTTTGATTGAACAGAGCGCTAGATATAGGTAGCAGCAACGCACAAACTTAAAATCACAGTTGTCATCTGATTGCAGTGATTGATGGATGATGATGATGAATGGGATGCGATCTCAACTCTCTCTTCACCTTATCCAAACGTAAATTTTTTGCACATGCTCTCTCATTCGATCAACATGGACTGCTCTGCAATTCGCAAATGGCAGTGAGGTGGTAGTCGACATCTTGTTAGTTATATCTGTTAAACATTTTTGCCCGCTCTCCGCATACCGTGTAGTACTAAAGTGCACACAAACATCCAGAATAAGGACCCTTTTGGACTCTTAGACTTTATGGTTAATATCTAAAACTTAAAGAGATCGGTTTTTTGTTTTTGTTTTAGAGCGACATAGCTACAGGAATCCACACTGGAGATGTGGACTTTAAAAACAGGCAATGCTCGGGAAACTCGCTCGGAGTGAAACTCGCACGTACATGATGGGTGGCGTGTGGGGTACGTATTGCAGCGAGTAAGGGAAGGAGACGCCAGGCTGCAGGATGGGGATGGGTGCAGCGACCGCCTCGTGGTTTCTCCGCCTGCCTTTACTGCGACCCTGGCGGTGAAAGGAATCTGCCGGGGCGGACGGACGGACGGACGGACGCACGCAACACGGCGATTGCATGCGGATACAACGTCCATCGACCAAAACGAGGTTTACTGCAATATAGGGGATGGGCCACATGGGAGGCAGCACGAGGCAGTTCAGCAACGTCCTGTGTTGTCCTGTACTAAAACACGCCAATACGTACAGCATATACACTTCCCACCGTTTACAACCACCACTGACCAGCACGGTGAAGTAAGGTTAAATAACTCCAATGAACCGTATGTACGTATGCATGTATGTTGCACTTATTTCGCACCGTGTGTGGCCAACCGTGCTCAACGGAGGTGCGGACATTGCATGACATTGGTTAGGCCCTCGTCCAGCAGTGTGCGGCCATGAAGGGCTGTGCATGTTTTTGGCTTCGCTTTCAGCACAGAGAATGCGAACAAGTCAAATGAGCCAAGGGTGGTGACGTATTTGTGGAAATTGCACATTGACGCAAGTCACTTACCGTGGCCAATTGATTTACGCGGGACACGCACTCTTACAGTTATACTCGAATGTCATAGTAACAATGTCTTTTATTCATCCAGTAAAGGCTCACTGCATTTCAATGCCCCTTGCGGAAGGGTCCTTCTTTGGGACGTTTGGCTACTTAATGTGCTATGAGTATTGTTTGACTTGCATCCCACTGGGATTTTTGCACACAGCATTGATATACGGTGCTTTTTTCTGGAAGACTTTGCCGGTTTTTTTTTTCCTGGATTGTTCTGTTGCGCGTAGTCACTTTAAGATGTTTTCTTGTTCATGTTTTTGTTTGTTGCGGTTGCACCCGATTCAAGAGCCGAATGGCTCACAGGGCTATACCTAATAAATAAACTGAAAGCTGAAGGAAGCATCCATTGCCCAGAACCCTGCCTATTGTATATTTTTTTCCTTTTAAGTACACAGTGTTTTTGATTAATGCGGTTTTTTTTATTACTGAATGTATATTTCCCAACTCTCTCATTTGTGGGACTGAGAGGCAATGCCTGTAGATAGGGTTCAGCAATCTTTGCTTTTTGCTGCCATCTACTGGTTGACTTGCAGATTTGTAGATTGTGCAGATTAAATCCGACACCTGACGAGTTCCTCTTGTGCATGAGCCGATTCCCCTCCTTTGGCTGCCAGTCTGTCATTCGTCTTGACCACCGACGGTTATCCTTGCTACTGACGTGTCCTGGCCACACCAACTTATTTTTTCTTAATCTTGCATATGCTATCTTCCCCATGTTGTCTATCTACCTGTCTCGTGAGTTTAATTCGCAAGCAAGTATCTCACACAGCAAATGTGTTTCTTTTGGAGCATTTGTTTAATGTATGATTCACCTGTCATCGCAGGTAAAATTGAGTGATTAAAAAGTTATTTTTATAGAAGAACGCCGTAGATGAGAATTGATTGCAGTGTATTTGGAAAACTGAATTACATAATGGAAGAGCAAAACATTCTTACGTGCCTATGGAAGAGCAAGTATGTACGTTAAACTTGTTTCACAACGTACATCGCCAACCGTGCTAATCGGAGGTGCGCGGTAAGGACAACAATCTAAGTACGAAAATCAGTTCTGAAACAATGAAAAGTATGAGATTGTGTGTAACAACATAAGTGCAAGGAAATGGCTGTATGACTGTGAAAGTAAACTTGCTGACTCAAATCAGCGTAACTCTTCTACATTGAAGATCCACTCCCAATGCAAACTAATTACGCTGGTGGTAAAGATCAAATATTAGCTTAGGGTGATGCAAACTAGGCCTGGGAAATCCGTGAGCAACATTGGCTGGCGCTGCATGTAGCGACCCTGATTGGTAACCGTCAACAAGATAATAGCTTCTTTCAACATTGATTCTCATGGTACTTACTATAAATGCTGCACTAAATTGAATCAATGGTTGATTGCAGAGTGAACTGCAGCATGGGAATAGAGAACTTGAGACATTGACATGCAGGACTGGGGATGTGCAGCCAGACAACTGTCCACGAGGGCACAGCAAGGACTATGTACACACACGTGCACACAGAGACAAAGATCCCCCATATAGCCTCTAACAATCTGTTGGGGAAAGGGTTGTTAGCGAGCGCAGCACAACGTGCTAACCATGATGCCTACATACGAGTGGTTTACACATGAGTACAACTACATTTACATACTACCTACACGGACTAACAAAATATATAGAACAAAAATGGAAGTGTGCAAAGCCAGGAGAGATGCACGCTTGCATATTATATTCAGATACAGAAAGAGAAACGTTTGGATTGGGGAACGTGCTCAGGTTCATGACATCATTCAACCTGTGAATGTAAGCATGTATGCTGAACTTCTTTCATACCGTACGGAGCCACTGTAAGTGCGGGAGAAGGACAACAAACGAAACACAGACAAAAAGCGAATGTTGTTGATCAACGTTGGCTGATGATCAACAACAATGACGGAGTGGCAGCCAAGGAATGGAACGCACTGGAGAGGACTTCCACCAAGGAGATGGAACGATGACCTCAGCTTGTGTGCAGGTGCTCGGTGGATTTAGTTTTTTGACACCGCAAGTTAATGAGGAGGTGGCCAGCAGCTTGGGCAGGCCTTCATCCAGCAGTGCAGACGATTGACCATTACTGCTGCTGCTAATGATGAAACATCTTCTTTGGTTCTTTCGGTAAAGTCACGTAGAATGAGAATAAAATAATAAATTGATAAAATAAAATAACACAATTTATCAATTTATTATTTTATTCTCATTCTACGTGACTTTACCGAAAGAACCAAAGAAGATGAATCATTGCAGTCACGAAAGCTTTAAATCGAAATGATGAAACAGTCACATAAACAAGCATATATATATACACGTGCAACCCTTTTTTATTAATCCACTGCTAGACGTGGGCCCACACCACCCACCCCCCTCCACTCTTCCGGCTGGCTTGTGTGGGCACGACCCACCGTGTTTGGCGCGACCCCCTTGGTGACCGCGGGACACCACGACGGTGCCCAGGCCGCGGCAGAGCGGGCAGTGCGGCGCAGCGTGGGCGTCGCTCAGCCGCCGCCGCCGCGGAGACGGCAGCGGCACGCGGAGGTTCAGCCCGTCCAGACTGCCAGCGCGGACGACTGCAACCGGTGGGGTCCAAGGGTGAAAAGGCATCCCGTTCCCCTCTGCCACCCAACAGCTCTGTAACGTCGGGGGGGGGCGGGAGGGCGGAGAGGCATGTGCCCCCCCCCCCCCCACCACCACCACCACCGTCTCCGCACCCCCCACCCCCAATGTTGCTCAGCCCCCCCCCCCCGCCCCTTCCAAATGATTATAGTGAAGCAAAACAAATGTTGGTATGAAATATAATAATAAGCATGGGGTGAAAGGAAGGGCAGTATGCGAGGCATACTTCGTGCTTTCCAGAGTATCTTTTGTCTCTTCCCTTTAAAAGAAGGTCAAGCTGCAGTGCTGTCGCCTGAAAGAAAAGGACAGCTCAGGAGAGTCCCTCTAGAGCAGTGGTTCTTCTTCTTATCCTGGGGTGCGAGATGCCCTTTCTGGGGGCGCGAGACATGGCCAGATGTTTTTTCGAAGGTAAATCATCGAAACACAAATTAAGCACGGGCACCTAAGTACAACTACTTTGTTTCATCACACCCTGTGTGTATTTATTAACGTTGTTTTTTTTACGATTGAGAATCAAAAGGGTGCAAGTCTGCGGTAAAGGTTAAAAACCACTACTCTAGAGGGTAATTGGCCTACCCTTCCATACTGGTCACTAGTCCTTTGGAAGTGGTGGCAGTGCCCACATTTTACCCTACCACACACGAATTGCCGATCGACTAGCTGTGTTTGACCCGTTTATACTTCTGGGTGGGCAGAGATAGGGGGGATTTTAAGAAACTTATTGCGTTGTTTTAACTTGCCATGCTAGGCGATAAAATCGAACCGGCGACCTCTGGATTGCAAGTCCAGTGCACTAACCATTACACCGTGGCAGCATTCCATATACTGTACGTATTTAATAGTGCATGGGAACAGAGCGAGACAGTGCTAATGGGGGGAGTATGTTCCCTACGCTATGGCCCAGTGATCACTTTCATCCCCAGTAGCCAATAATTTAATATGAGGGCATAATTGTTTTGCATAATGTTTTAGCAGAATGGTGTAGTGAAGAAGCACGTGACTTGTAGTCGTAGTCACAGCCACATTGAGAGAGGTATACTGAATGTGGTGTGCCAGGTGTGGATCGACCCAACCGAAATGAATCCCTGCAATAAAAAAAAGTGTGGACCCCAAACATGGGCAGATTGGGTTGAAGTACAACAGAAAGAACTGGTGTGACGGGAGAGTGGTGTAAGACACTCGTGAGACAATCCGACCTTCTTGAACTCCGCTGCCATTGCAAAAGTGGCATGGAACAGCCTGGTCCGTGTCCCTTGAGTTCGCAGGAACGCCCACGCTGGCAAGAGAAATATAGTCCCGTCCTGCCGGTAAATAAATAACCAGGCACAAAGTGCCGACAGTTAGAGGGGGTCAGGGAAAAATAACGAATGACAAAAACCACAATGTTTAGAATAATGCATGGCACTTGAATCCATCTGGAAAATCCCATTATGTCTGCGGCCATGACAATGATATTTCTCTAGCCTGAAATACACACACATATACTTTTAACTTTTTTCCCACTACTCCCTTTACAGCCGCCTGGCTGCGCACGTCACAGCGCTGATAAGAATTCACACAGCTGCTCTTTAAAAAGGGCCCGTGGATGAGCGTCTGGCAGGCTGTTCCATAAACCCATAATCCATTGTGGGAGCGAGAAATCATTGGCTCCTAAACATCCCTTGTGCTTTTCATTTTACACTTTAAAACATGGCCTCGGGTTTCATGAACAGTAGCACTACCGGTATGGGAGCCGGAGATTTTAAATGTGGAGGTTTTTTTTTCCCTTCCAAATAAATCCAACTTTGCAATCGAAAATATGTAATGAGACAGCCCCATTGCATCAGGGGATTCCTTGTGAATTCTCATAGTCTAGTCATTGCTCATTAATTGGCTGAAAACATCTTAAAATAAACACCCACTGCAGGGCCCTCCTGAAAAAAGAGTCTGGTGACTCCATGTGGCTTTCCTGGATAAATAATTAAATTTGAAGTAAAATATTCAAAGCCAATAGCTATTTTCTTTAAGAGTTTACCAACTTGGCAAACACCCATAACCATAAAAACATATATATATTCCCGTGCGCATCACATACATAGGGAGTAAGAGCTAGAGAAGAATGCAGGATAGATAAAACATCAAATCGTATTCTTACTCATGATTGTTAAGCATTTGTTTAACACTGAATATGTTGTGCCCACCCCAGAGTTTTTGTCTGCCTCCCTTGAGACCGACCACAAGGGCTTTGTCATGGAGATGATGAACCCATTCAGGAGATCTTTGGGGGCTGTGGTCCTTTGAGAAACCTCACAGGGCTTCAATCCGGTGAATTGCCTTTTTATACGGTATGAGTCATACTTCCCCACACACTACGCTACGTGTTATTAGATGACAAGCCCAGATGGTTCATTGTAATTCTCACAGCTGGAATTTTTGCCAAATTCAGTGCAAACCCGAAGTTGAATGTGACGGTTTGTTTTGTTCTGCCGTCATTCATTACCAGTTTGAAACCATCAACTCACTGCACTTGAGAACCTGGTTTGATCACGGGTGGTGGCTGCCTGCGGATTCGAACCCAGGTGCTCAGCGATGCCAGGTCAAGTGTGCTGACCTCTGAACCACCCGGCCACCTCTAGGTGTAGTGTTCATAAGCGGTGGTCATCCTGTCGAGAGAAAGGTCCCAGCAGAGGGAATTTGCCGAACGAGCTCACGGCCAGCGAAAGATATGCGTGCCTGTTTGAGCAGAAAAAACAACCGATTTGACTTTTTTTTTAATTCTGCTAATAAATTACGTCTTTCCCCACAGCTACTGTACCTCCGCTAAATGTAATTATCTCGGCCCACGCCTGCCAAACGGCAGCGCTAAATTTAAATGCGTTGTCCTTCCCAGTGCAACAGGCGATCCATGGCTTAGATGTAACAAAACATTTTTTCTAACCCGTTTTAGAATTTCAATTCAATGCATGCACCAATGGAATATAGCCTACTGAGAAGGCACCGTGTATTACTGCATAGGTTTGTTTGCGGTTGTGCTGTATGACCCTACAATGTGTTTTGGGGCTGTACTGCATCTTGTTCACACAAGCAACAGCAGGCAATGATATATAATCAAGGGAGAACGTGAGCTGCTCTATTCAGTTCCTGAGGAAGCTCCTGGCATGTGGAGCGAAACGTCGGACATCGTGCCGAACGACATGCGGAACGACCTGAAAAAAACACAGATCGGAGAGAGGGAAATGAAGCATGGTGTACCTGTCGGGCAGCAAAACCATTGCCATAGTGATGAATGATCTTAACCTGTCCCCAAAAATAGTTCCATCACATGTGGTTTGCCTAGCGCATGGAATTATTTTCAAGCAGAGGTCCACAGATGTATTTTCAGGTCCCCAGGGAAGAGTCACCCTTGCACATTTCCAGCAAAAATTGTGCACGCAATCTAATCGACTAATTTCTGCAGGACAGCCACACTGAGTCGTAGGGCTATTTTTTTTTCAGGAGGGTCCTGCATCGGGTGCTTATTTTAGAATGTCTTCAGCCAATCAATGATGAGTTGTTTATAGTACACGTGGGAGGAAGCCGGAGCACTGGGAGAAAACTCACGCGGGCGACGGGGTAACACTATGTCCCTGTACCGATGGAAAAAGATGGCGATTAGTTAACCAGCGAGCCAGGGTTATGGCACCTCGATGCCGACGAGAAGGCAATTTCACAACACTTGTGTGATCCACAGTGCCGGATTACAGGCCACGTACACCATCCACCACCTCATGAAGAGGACGGAAGAAAATTAACGTTTGGAGCGGCGGTAAGGGAGAAGTGCTGGTGGACTGGGAACCTGCATTGACTCACTGGCACGTCCAATATTCATTAATGTGCACTTTAACTTGGCCAGCTCAATAATCGTTTGTATGAGCACCGACTCAAAAGGTCACGCGCTGAGCTGTGAAGGAGGTGTTCGAATGGCCTGCTTTCCGCAAAGTACACCCTGCCTGTCTCGCTAACATGCACCCATCACCAGGGATTGCAGTGCTACTAAAATATATATTGCTTTTAATTGCCAACCAAGGTTACTCAGCGGGAGAGTAAGGAGGTCACAGCTCACAGTACGAAGGTCGCGAGTTCAAATAATGGAGGCAGGCATGACCCAGTCCATTATCCCTGCAGGATCGATACAATGAGTACCACTCTGTGGGTAAGTCAACAAAGTTTTGAGTTTCACCAAGTGAGAACTCAGGAGACAAGGATAGAATAACGAAGGGCAACGAAGGTTATTCTATCGAGAGATTCACCCCCACCACAGGAACGTGAATTTTCTGACACTCGCTAGGAGCTGTAACTGGGAGGTAAGTGCCACCCAAATGCTCATGCAAAAATAGCTTTGACATTATTTTTACATCAGCCCCTCCACCCAGCAATCGCGCAGCTCCGCGGTTGATCCTGCACAACAACTCCGGTGCACCACTCCTCTCCTGCGGAATAACATTTGGTGCCAATACTACGTGCGAAAGAGAGTGCCAATGGGAAATCTGTGGGGGGGGGGGACGATGTTACCCAGTGGCTCAGGGGAGCCTAATGCAGCGCATCGGGGAACTGAGCCGGCACCTGTGAGAGAGACCCTTAGACCTCAAGCTCACGGGCCGGCTAGAGGAAGGTTCTCATGCACCGTGTCGGACCGGTGAACCAATAGGTTTCAGAACCTGCAGTTAAGCACCCCGAGGGGATAGAAAACTAAAAAATGTTGCTTTCTTTTCCAGGGGATACAAAAAGGCTCTCCGAGTGCAGTGCATTTGACGGTTTCAGCTCAATTACCGACGATTGAGAAAACAATGGGGGGGGGGGGTGACCCAGAGGTAATACTGCAAAGCATATTTTGTTACAATGTGATGTCCTAGAAAATAAACAGCGGCACGTAGACAGCGATGGAATTATTCGATGATCAAGCAGAAGTTATACACCTGAGAGATTTATGAGGAACAAAAATGTTCATTGATTGAGCTTCGGAAAAGGTCCTATGAATGCCTTGATCTGTGCCGACTGCTGTGGCTGTGAGCCCCAATAGGGAATAGCATTTCATCTACGCACCTGTGTCCCATTGATTGGTAGATGTTAGTGATGATGAAAAAACTAAAATAAATAACTTGTAAAAAACAACAGCACAGACACGACCCTCAAGGCAGTAACTTTTCTTGCCATATTAGTGATGGTCGCACCAAGGACGGCCGACATAGATAGGACGGTTGTAGCCATTGACAAAATTCCATCAATTGTGCACATTAAATTCATTTTTCTTCAGGTGGCCAGGTGTCGCAGAGGTCAGAGCTCTGAGCTGGCACCGCTGAGATCAAGGGTTCACATTCTGGCAGCGACCTGCGTGATTAAATAGGATTCTCAAAGGTAGTGAGTTGATGGGTCTCAGCCTGAGCACTGCGTATGTACTGCACAAACATCACGTAACATTTGGATTCCGATGCGAGTTGGTAAAATTCTAGCTCTTGAGCATTAAAAATATTGGCTTGACTGTCATGCAATGAACATTAATCTCATATGCAGAGGTAGCTCTGACCCTATCCATGAGTCATTCTCTAACACCAACGATTGCATTGCACTGCGAGAGACCCGAATGTGTTCATCATATCCTGACATGACACTGATAACACAGGCAGGTTAAAATTGAGGGAAAACGACATCGAATGTCCATATTAAAATGTCCATTGTATTCATTGTCAGAGGAGTTGTGCTCTCAGCGTGTCCTGCCATGAGACAAATACATTTCCATAATAGAGATTGTTTTTGGGTTAGATCGCACAAATATCAATGTGTCGTTCAAGCCGCCACCACCCGACACAGCCAAATGGTAAGGTTTGTCACTTAAACAGAACGTGGCCAATGCGTTACTAGTACAGCACACCGGTGTGTTGGAGAGTCGCGAAAGTGAGGAAGTCTCAAAGTGAGCACTGCATTGCATCCTCGCATTAGAATAGCCCCGGAAGGTAGCTTCACTGACATACTGATTTAAGTCACTTCAATTGGTCGTTTTCATTCATAACTTGGTAACCAACGAGTGTGTACTCTAAAAAGTCAAGTTTATTGTTTAACCAGGTGAGACGTCGAGAGACAAGGGTAGTCTCATTTGCAGGAATGACCTGACTTGCGATATGATAATCACAGTAAAATAAAGGCAATAGTCCAATTTGAGATATTACAAATATAAAACTAAATGTAATGTTTAATAATGTAGCCATTGATGACAATGCTGACACAAACACGTACAATGTCACCGATATTGGCCAAGCATCCCAATGCAAAAGTAAAAACACACGCCTGCAAATTACTCAATTGGGATTACACTTTGCAAAGTTGCCCCTTCCTGCGAAAAAAATCTGGCAGGACCCTCCTGAAACGAAATTCTTGAGTGAGGCTTTCCCAGGTAAACAAGGGTAGTAGTAGTAGTAATAATAATAATACTCATCATCATATCTATCACACCTGTGTATGGCCCTCGCAGGGACAGCCTGCCCTCGGACTGGCTCCTGTGCATGCGCGGGGCTTGGTTCGGAACGGCAGCACGGGAAGCGCTGGCAGTGTGCGAGCCCTCCGTGTCCGAACCTGCGGTAGAAACACAAGCGCCGGGGGCACCGCTGAGCGACGCCGCATCCAGCAGCGACCGTTTCATTTCTTTTTTTTTCATTGTTATTCAAGAACCCAGAACACAAAGTATATTCTGAAGTGGGGAGGGGGGGGATAAATGGCAAATAACGTGTAACAAACCCGGCGCGATGCACCCTCGACATTAGCGACCGACCGCGGTAGGGGTAACGATCGGGAGCAGCGTATTTATGGGGGGAGGAGAAGAAGATGGAAAAATGGGGAGGTGGGAGGGGGTGGAATGTAACCCAACAGAACCAGAAATAAAATAGCATGAACGCGATATCCAAGTTTGTCATTCTCATTTTCTCCCCAGCAGCGATCCCTTCATTAACGCGCAGCGGGCACCGGGAGGCTGCAGCTTCAAGCACAACGTTGCAAGGGCTCGGGCAGTTTGACCCAGGTGGCAGCAGTGCAAAAATACAAAAATTAACAACGTGAAGTCGATGATGATGATGATGAGAATCTGAATTGAATCCCACGCCATCCCACGGTGGTCATTGCTTGAATGTATTTCACCACGCTCGTCAGGTGTGGGTTGGCGGAGGTGGCGGACCAAGAACCGGCTCCGATGTCGCTCAGTACTGATGTGAGCCGTGGCCAGGAATTTAATTCAGGTTCATGCACGGTTTCTAGCTCAGCGTAATTAACCACTGCACCGCCGCTCCGTGTCCAATGCGCGTTATCGATGTTAAAAGGAGCATGTTGTGTCATGCCAACGCAACATAGACTCTCTCTCTCTGTGAATATGCTATCAGGTACAGTTATGGATAGGTGGATCTCAATAATCAGTCTGGGCAATATGGTGGTGCTATGTTTCACAGTTAAAGCAAGCGTCATGCATTAAAATGTTCACGCACACGTGTGGCATTCTAAAGCAATGCCACGAGAAGAAATTGCATTTTATGTATAGAAGGCAGTGGTAGTTGAGCAAATCCTGCTTCACTAAATCAGCTGGTAGAATTTGACATTGGTATCACAATAATACTGCGATTGCATGTTCACCAAAACATTGTGAATACTACATTCTATGAGTTAATTTATGCTTCAAATGCAGATGAGTAGCTCCCCGATGTGTTTTTTCGGGTTGTACTGCGTGTTCTTTTTTCAGCACGGTTGTTTGACCTTTTATTCCCACGTGCTGGCACCTTCTTCGGGAGCTGAATCAGACGCTTCTGAACATTTGTTAAAGTAGCTCTTGAAGAAGTTGCCGGCGTGCGGAACGAAACGTCAAGACGTCGTGCCGAAAAAGACGGTGGTGCGGCCCGAAAACCACAATGGAGAGAAGTCTACAGCACAATCGTGAAAATTATAAAAAAAAAACTGCCACAGTAATTTTTTTCAAAGTTTTTTTTGTTTACATATGACAAACTATCATAATAAATATATAAGCACTGTAGTCTAAAAAAAAGAAGAAGAAAAAGCTCTTACGCTTTCAATACACATAGACAACCAATAACAACTGCCACAAAGGTGCATTTACACTTACAGATTTCACAGTTCAAAGGGAGGTGATGCTCAGTCCCTGGTGCAAATATAGCCTCATTGCATAAGAACGGTTATACACGCCCGTAACCCGGTGCTGTGATATTATGCAAATGCAAAACTCTTGTCTGCATACACTCTGATGAAAATGTTGTGTACCCGCACATAGGTGGAACATAAAAGTGGCTTAAAATGGAGAAGTTTCAATACAAACTGCCTCTGAAGGTTGTTTTTTAATGAAAGCTGTGCACGCCGTTTTAACGGTTTTAGCAAATGCGGCCTACACCTCATCAGAGTCATACGTTCGCATAACAAAATAAACGAATCACCAAACTACGGCTTTTTAGATACTTCCGTATGAGATAACAATACGGCTTGCATTTCTGCCGTACAGCATTCAACCACGGCAGCCGTGATCAATTCCCCATGCAATCTGTGCACGGTTCAAAAACTGACACGCATCGGTTGAAATCCGCAACACAATTAGCTTCCGAGCCTAACTTTGCTCGAAGCAATCCCGCATTACAAGAGTCTGGCATATGTTTCCATGACCCCCCACCCACCCCCATCATACAACTTACAGTGAGCGTGTTGTGAGCGCAGGGGAGGAGGCTGCGACTGGCTGAATCTCGATCTCACTTCTTCCCGCAGCTTGACGACTTCACGGTGGAGGTCCTCCACGCTTTTGCTTAAACGGTGCAGGGATAGAGAACGGTGTTAGATTGAACTCGGCGCCCGCCCAAATGCCAAACCCACGTGTCCGCAACGTCCCATTGCCGACGCTTTCCTGAAAGAGGACAACAATCATCATCGCCTGTAATGGGGAGGCCATCATCCAGCAGCTGATTGATCATGGCTGACAAGGATTATGACGGTTATGGTTAATTATTTTTCGTGTGCCGATGCCAACTCACCGTCGTCGTCATCATCATCATCATCGTTAGGCATGATCACTGGATGAAGGCATCCCACCTGCTGTAGCCATGTCTCGCTGCCCTGCAATGTAGCGATCCACCTCGCATATGCAGAAGAGATGATTCCATTGCTCCAGGTCCACGGTGGGAATCCTGTTTGATGTGTCCCCTCACTTGAATGCCACTGACCACCATCGCTAGGTGACTGTATCTCATAGTTACTACGATTGTGTGTATGAAAAGGAAATGTATTTTCAAAGGCGTAGACTTTTTTTTTTAAATGATATAAAATTTACAAATGTGTGTTTTGAGAAGGGAAGAGTTCGTGGTTGCTGAACACAGGCCCAAAGGCCCTGGGCAACAACACAGTGCGATCGAAGCTCTAATAGATAAGAGTTTATAGTCTCTTGAATTGAGCAAAGATATTGTGTGAACTTGGGAAAAGACGACGATGTGAGGGAGAACCAACATCGAGCAGTACTGGTAAAGAGAAAGAAAGATAAGTGTCATGTCCTGTGTAGTATGGTGGCTGAACACAACACGGATGGGATGAAACAGTCCGACGGGCAGGCTGAATCCTCGTGGCAGAATAAATCATGAAGTGAAAGTTCATGGGAACAGTAACCACAACAGAAGGGTAATACGGAGTCGACTGACCGCCGGTGAGCGAGTGGCTGCAGTGTGAATCAGTGAGTGCCAGGACGCACTCTCGCTTGGGCGTGCTCGCCAGAGGAGCCGGCGGGACTACGCTGCGGCGCCTGGTTCGTCCCCGGGATCGGCCGGACGACGATGCCGAGGTTTCGCGAGACCTCTCGGGGTCCCGGGCGACGTGGCCAGGCCTCTTGCTCTGCTCCAGGCGCCGCCCCAGTTTGGCGATTTCTGCCTGCAGTGCCAGCATGGCCTCCCTAGGAGGTGCGAATGAGAGCGCATCGGTCTTTCTTTCGGCACAGTGACCCGCAACAGCTTGGGTGAAGTGCTCAGCAGAGATCGTGGATGCTGACCTTTTAAAGTCTTTCCCAAAAGTTTGTCCCAATTGTGCGATCGGCTTAACGTCATGATATGAAGCATGAATTAGGATCTCTCACACGGCAGTGCAACCCTTCGCGTTCAAGAGTGGCTCGTGGAAACGGGTGTCACGGAGGTACCTCTGAGGATCCTTGAAGTGACCTTTGTTCCACACGGTAATGGGCAGCACTTTTCTATCCACCCTTCTTCCAAGAGTAATGTTTGGAATGTGATCATCATTCTTTTTATTTTTAGAGCTGATATTTTGGACAAATTAAGTGCAGAACCAAATTTAATGTGATGGGGTTTCTTTTTCTAGCTCTGAGATACCCTGCTACCTCTCTTGGCACCTGGCCTAAAACTTGTAAAATTTATTTGGTGACACTGTGTTGGCAGTAGTGCACAAACCAACCAAAAGTCTCAACACATTCGTGAATAACTCTGTGGTGTTAAAAAGGACAATAACTAATTGTCGACGTTTTAGAGAATGGCCAGAAGTTGAGTTTTTAAAGATTGATATGGAGTTTGCATGTTCTTGTTGGTATGCACGTAAAGCATAGGACATTAAAAAATGTATCAAACCTACCACTATACTAATTATTCAGAGCACAAATTTTGTGCAAAGCACCATATGAAAATGTCGTACGTAAAGATCATAATCACGCCACCTTAATAACCACGCCACCATGAACACTCGCATGAACGTAAATACACTCAACAACGAATGTACCAAACCATCACTCCTGCAATCCTTACATTTTATATCGTAGGAGTGCAATGATGCATTGATTGATCTTTTAACAACGATTCTTCTCCGATAATAAATACATCAAATGATGTATTCTATTTTTTTTTCAATACGTCTGTAAGTGGAGCAGTGGTGCATTTGGTAACACACTGCACAGTAAATCTTGATTCCCGTCTTGGGTGCTTTTCTGTGTGGAGTTTGCATGTTCTCCGCCTGTTCTGCATGGGTTCCCTCTGGGATCTCTGGTGTCCTCTCATAGAATGTCATTGGTGTTGGCCAAACCACCCAATGTAGTAGGCCCCTCCTGAAAGAGGAGTCTTTGGCTTTATCGGGTAAATAAGCCATGATTACTGTAACCCACACTGGTCATCGTGTGACGTAAGGTCAAACAACTCACATAAATGAAAGGTGTGGGCAGGCCTTCATCCACCAGTATATTGGCAAAGGACATGTTACTATATTTTTATATGTTGTATATAATGGGTTCACGTCACCTTTGCAACGAAAAGAGGCCCTACTGATGAATGCAATGTATAAAAAACGAGTCACTTTACTGAGTTGGTGACCATTGCGAACCTGGTTTTGAAACCAGGCAGCTAATAAATGACTAAAGCCATGTTCTCACTTTCAGAGATTAACATGAGACACATTAGTATGCGCATAATACATTCATTTAATAATTTGTGTAAGAATGAATGTATTACAATGTATTCAAATTACATGAATGTATTATGCCGATGTTACATTTAGGCTACCGGATAATAAACATTAAGCATGCTCGCGGTCTGGTAACCGATAATTGCCAAGAAAGACACATTAGTCTTTTTTTTCCCCGATGCAGCTTTTTTCCCCAGCTCCAACAATTAAAAAACATCAGTCTAATTGCCACACAAATAAACTTTACAGGGCATGTAAAAGGTGTGAATATAAAAATATATTGGAGCGACCTCATCAGTAATCACGAGATATCCTCTTATGGGACTACTCTCTGACAGAGTGATGCACTGCAAATGAGAACAAATCATGCATATTGTGAAACATGCGTCTGTCTTCAGAATTAGTGTTTTCGTAATAGGGTTGCAAAGGGTAATTTGAGCTCTGCTTTGTGCGTCTCAGCTCTGAGTGACCGCTTGATCAATGTGGTTAGTTTTCTATGGGGTAAGCCTGCCGCACAACCAAAACTTATAGGAAAGTTATATTCTGTATCATTATTTATGAGTCTTATAGTGCCTCCTCCATTACGTACAGATGGATGGACAGATAGAGCTAATGCTTAAACGCGTTTTACATTAGTTCGGAAAGTATACTTTTTTTTTTTATTAAACTCGATGTATAGAAGGTAACTATATTCGTTGGGTCTTTCAGTAAAGTCACGTAGAAAGGTTCAAAAAATATAAGAACATTATTTTCTTTGAGAAAGTAACGTTTTTTTAAAAATAGAAAATCATGTTATTTTCTTTGAACCTATCTACGTGACTTTACCGAAAGACCAAAATAATATGAATTCCTGCAGTCACGAAAGCTTTAAGTCAAAAAGTTAACTGTGTTATAGGCTTGAAGTGGGTGTACAGAATTTGACTGCGTATAGAATTAAAGTTTATATGTAGATTTAGAATTTTTGCATAGAATTGAACTGTGTGTATAGAATTTAACTGTATAGAACGTAACATTCCGTTTACAATTTAATTGTATAAAATATAACGTGTTTATAATGTAATGTGTATAAAATTGAACTGTATAGAATGTAAAGTGTATGTAATGTAACATTGTTATACAACTGAACTGTGTATAAAATGAAACGTTGTGTATAGAATGTAACGTTGCATATACAAATTGAACTGTGTGTATAAATTTTTATTTAAAGCTTTCGTGACTGCAGGGATTCATCTTCTTGGTTCTTTCGGTAAAGTCACGTAGAAGGGAAACAATAAAATAATAAAAATATAAAACAATAAAATTCTCACGACGTTTCGACTACAACACAAGCAATCATCATCAGGTATGAAAACCACAGCAAGAACATTTGAAAAAAGTGGCGTTTTTTTACGTTAGCACCACGGAGAGCGATTTGGCAGTTATTCAGATGAACGAGTCCATCTATGTTCGGAAAAGAGGAGGGGGGAGACGAAAAAAATGGATGCGGTCTGAAAGCCACCGTATACGTGAACAATCAATTAAGACCCGAAATGGTCTATCAAATCCTTCCAATGATTGCTAAGCCAGAATCCATCTTCTCGGTTGAAATTGTCTCTGTGTTTGTATATGTGGATAGCCTCATGAACGAATCTCTCATGATAGCCAGATGGCTTGCAGAGAACCTCTGTCTTGGAGAAGTCAATGTCATGTGAGCCTACTAAATTATAACAGTGAACTGCCACGGCCGAGGTGTTGGTTCTACCGTGTTTAAGGTCTGCTTTGTGTTCACGAATGCGGTCCGAGACATGTCGTTTGGTTTCTCCAATGTAACTACTACCACAGAGGTAACGTAAAAAAAAACGCCACTTTTCTTCAAATTTTCTTGCTGTGGTTTTCACACCTGATGACGATTCCTTGTGTTGCAGTCGAAACGTCGTGAGAATTTTATTGTTTCATATTTTCATTATTTCATTGTTTCCCTTCTACCTGACTTTACCGAAAGAACCAAAAAATATGCGCGTGTAAAATTAAACGCTGTGTATAGAACGTAACGTTGCATATAGAAATTGAACTGCGCGCCACGGCAGCCGGCGTACTGCTTTGACGAGCGGGACGATTGCCCGTCGCTGAGCTGGGAGAGGCGCCTTCCACGGGAGGGCTGCCCAGAGTCGACGCGCGTGGAGCCTGGCGAGCCAGGCCCCTCGTCCGCGCTCCTTCTAGCGGCACTCGCGGCCGTCCTCGCCGCCTCCACCGCCAGCGCTGCAGGGCAGCGAGCAGAGCAACCATCAGCGGCCGGTCGCTGTTATCATCAACACTGGCCATGATCAATCCACTGCTGGGTGAAGGCTTCCCCCAAGCCATTGTCGTCTCACGTAGCGCATGCATACGAGCTGATTTCATCGCGCTCGGGCACCACTAATATTAGCCACGGTTGGGAATCAAACTCGGGTTGCCCGGCTCCGAGTGCTGGGCGCTAATCGCTACACCACCACCACCACTCTTCTCATTACGCATGCAGGGATATTGGCTCCTAAATGCTCGCATACAGAACGTTAATGCGTCTTTGTGTGTGCATGCATGTGGTTTGATTCCAGGCTATGCACATGATCACTGGAGAGTGAGATTAACATGTAGGCTTTCGCGACCAATATTATTCATAATAAAGGTTTTTGGGTTAGATCGCGTTTATTTATAAATGTGTCGTAACCCTCCACCACCCGACACGGCCAATCAGAAAAAAAAAAACGCGATCTAACCCAAAAACCTTTATTATGGAGAGTGAGAGTTAAACTTTGACATTTCCATTCGATTCAGCCTTAAATTAAGAACTGGGGGAATGGGCGATTATTAGGCATTTAACGATGCATCAGATAATCGATTACAATCAATTCATACTCTCCCGATACAACACTCCAATTGTGCACGGAAGGATCAAATATTTGCAATTCGTAATCGGTTCATGAGAACCCTGCAGCTCCGGGTGGCGCTACAATAACCACAATGGCAAGGAAAGAGAATCGGTTCTTGAATATAATTAGAACAACGAACCGTGACAATTCATCTAGTCTTGAAAGGGGGTTAGCCAATCCACAATCGATACTTCGTGATTATAGCCACTTGCGTGGTGCTGGCTCCGCCATCCCCTTGTGTGCCATGCTGGCTTTTTATAATTGGTGGTCGTAAACAGCACATGCCCTGGAAGTCTACCTGGGCCACATCCCTGGATGACACTTATAATAGGATCTACGGAGCAGGGAACATGTGTCACTTTTACATTGCAATCTCAGGTTTTTTTTGTTTGCACCTGCGTAGGAAGTTCACAGTCTCAACTCAGGTGACAGTGCGTAAAAACTCAGAATCCAGCAGGCTGTGAGACACTTGTTAGGACTGGTTATGTCAGTAGCGTCAGTCACAGTCATATCTGCCACAGACGTGTGCTGGCAGCTGCAGCAGCTGGTGCATGCCCATTTGACACAGAAGGAATTGGCGAGGTGGTGCTGTGGCAGAAAGTGATCAGAAAGTTACGAAGCCAAATCCTGTGTGGGTTGAACAAAAAGTAATTTGTCCATCCAGAGTGACTATCAGCACCACTGACAATTTTAACAGTGGTCATCCTTGGGAATGAATGGTCCCTGTCAGAGGATTGTGGAATTTCCACCACTGGCTAAGGGCCATGAATGGAAAAGATCCCTGCTCTATGTTCATTTCACAATAATGCTGGCATTGCGTGAAAAAAATATTTCGGTATATTGTAATTCTCATTTTCTTTAAATACAACATAGAGGTGAGGCACTGCACAACACTCTTTTGAGTATCCAAATTGTTTTCATTTTTCGAAATGTAACAAGTAAAAGTTGTATAATTGTGGGGAGACACTGATCTTCTGTTAATAAGACTATTTGTCAGGAAGGTCCTGCATTGGGAATTTTGACCATTTCCATCCTTCAATTCGCACAGTTGGCTACGTACGGCGCGAAAGAAGCTCAACATAAAGTCACGTAGAATGAGAATAAAATAATAAATTGATAAAATAAAATAACACAATAATATTCTCACGACGTTTCGGCCACAACACAAGCGGCCTTCATCAGGTGAAGGGACGAGACTGTCTGGTAGGACCTGATGAAGGCCGCTTGTGTTGTGGCCGAAACGTCGTGAGAATATTATTGCGTTATTTTATTTTATAAATTTATTATTTTATTCTCATTCTACGTGACTTTACCGAAAGAACCAAAGGAGATGAATCATTGCAGTCACGAAAGCTTTAAATCGAAATTTAAGCTCAACATACACGCACGCACGCATACATGCACAACCCTTATGTACATCGCGACGCCTCGCTCGACAGCGTGCCGAATGAGGCATGGGTTCACCTCGTGGGGTGACCTCCCCCTTCTCTCCATCCCTCCCCGCGCCCCTGACGTAGAGGCGGGGTGCGGTGGCGCGGATGGGCGTGACGTCGCCACGCACGCTGCTCGTCTGCTCGCCAGCGGGCCACCGCTTGGATCCCGCGCCAGTCGCCCTCGCCTCCTCGTCCTGCTGGACCCGCGGCGCTGCCCGCGGCGCCGCCCCCGCCCTGCGTTGTTTCGGCGCCGCTTCGACGACACTGGGATGCCTGTTTGCGAAAGCGAGAAGCCTGCAATTAAAATGCTGGGGTTTGAAATCGCTCACGCCTGGGCAGAAGCCAGGGCTGCAACTGAGCACAGATGTTGTGGCCCCTTGTGCGACTTTGCATGGCCGTGAATTGTCTCTGGACAACAACCGGCCCTGGCGTTCCATCACACCAGGGCCATAGGACAATTATCAGGAGAAGCTCCCTCTCTCCACTGTGGAGCGATCAGAGAGAGTTGTAGGCTTTGAGGAAGGAGCGCGTTGCACGCAAATCTCCCATTGTATTGCAAAAGGAGATATTATTTATCCAGCTGTATCAGTAACCAGCATGCACTAAAGATAACTATGTCGTGCTTATTGAGTGCGTGCCTTTAGCCTTCACGTGAAAAGCGAACCGCTTGAATGAATGTGTATCGGCATTTTGTCAAATCACTGCTGGTTGAGGACCTCCGACCGTGGAATGTCGTGGGGGTTATTGACCATACTTCACGACGCTGGTTAGTATGGGTTTGTGAAGTTGGGCAGCATAGCCATCGGGGCATAGCATAGCGCAATGATGGATTTTGCCGCACTGCCCTGGACTGCCCACAATAGAGCCCTCGACTATATTTGTGTAAAGTTCCATCTTGACAGGCCTTCTTGAACATGATTGACATCAGTCACCCGCTCCATCAGGGTCATCTATGTCTGTCTGTGTTAGATACAGGGTCGAGGGCAGACGACCTGGTCACGTGCATCGTTGTTTCTGGGGTCGTGAGCGTTGCTCCGAGCCGCCCGCTCTCTGAACCGACGAAGCCGCTATCAGTTTCAGGTGACACGATTCGATCCTACGCACGACGGGGACACAAATAAACACAAATATCTCAAACAGCACTGGGCACACAACAACAAGCACCAGGCTGGTGATGGCTTGACAATGTGTAACATTGAGTGGGCATCGAGTGTGAAATTAACACTTTTTTTTTATTAAGCTGTTAAAATAAACATTGATTAATTTTACTGAAATTCAACACGCGATGATCTACTCCCAGAGCCATCACAATCTCCTTGGGTGACTGCAACAAGGTGTCTCAGCACTGAAAAAAATACATTTGTGACAGTGGTTCTCATCTATATTTAGAGACACTGAGACTCGTGGTTGAACAAGGGGAGTGGGAGAAAGAGAGGAGAGGCAGGGGGTGTATGCAGTTTACAGTGAGGGAAAAAAGTATTTGATCCCCTGCTGATTTTGTGCGTTTGCCCACTGACAAAGAAATTATCAGTCTATACTTTTAATGATAGGTTTATTTGAACAGTGAGAGACAGAATAACAACAAGAAAATCCAGAAAAGCGCATGTCAAAAATTTTATAAATTGATTTGCATTTTAATGGGGGAAATAAGTATTTGACCTCCTCTCAATCAGAAAGATTTCTGGCTCCCAGGTGTCTTTTATACAGGTAACGAGCTGAGATTAGGAGCACACTCTTCAAGGGAGTGATCTTAATCTCAGCTTGTTACCTGTATAAAAGACACCTGTCCACAGAAGCAATCAATCAGATTCCAAACTCTCCACAATGGCCAAGACCAAAGAGCTCTCCAAGGATGTCAGGGCCAAGATTGTAGACCTACACAAGGCTGGAATGGGCTACAAGACCATTGCCAAGCAGCTTGGTGAGAAGGTGACAACAGTTGGTGCGATTATTCGCAAATGGAAGAAACACAAAAGAACTGTCAATCTCCCTCGGCCTGGGGCTCCATGCAAGATCTCACCTCGTGGAGTTGCAATGATCATGAGAACGGTGAGGAATCAGCCCAGAACTACACGGGAGGATCTTGTCAATGATCTCAAGGCAGCTGGGACCATAGTCACCAAGAAAACAATTGGTAACACACTACGCCATGAAGGACTGAAATCCTGCAGCACCCACAAGGTCCCCCTGCTCAAGAAAGTACATATACATGCCCGTCTGAAGTTTGCCAATGAACGTCTGAATGATTCAGAGGACAACTGGGTGAAAGTGTTCTGGTCAGATGAGACCAAAATGGAGCTCTTTGGCATGAACTCAACTCGCCGTGTTTGGAGGAGGAGGAATGCTGCCTATGACCCCAAGAACACCATCCCCACCATCAAATATGGAGGTGGAAACATTATGCTTTGTGGGTGTTTTTCTGCTGAGGGGACAGGACAACTTCACCGCATCAAATGGACGATGGACGGGGCCATGTACTGTCAAAGCTTGGGTGAGAACCTCCTTCCCTCAGCCAGGGCATTGAAAATGGGTCGTGGATGGGTATTCCAGCATGACGATGACCCAAAACACACAGCCAAGGCAACAAAGGAGTGGTTCTAGAAGAAGCACATTAAGGTCCTGGAGTGGCCTGGCCAGTCTCCAGACCTTAATCCCATAGAAAATATGTGGAGGGAGCTGAAGGTTCGAGTTGCCAAACGTCAGCCTCGAAACCTTAATGACTTGGAGAATATCTGCAAAGAGGAGTGGGACAAAATCCCTCCTGAGATGTGTGCAAACCTGGTGGCCAACTACAAGAAACGTCTGACCTCTGTGATTGCCAACAAGGGTTTTGCCACCAAGTACTAAGTCATGTTTTGCAGAGGGGTCAAATACTTATTTCCCTCATTAAAATGCAAATCAATTTATAACATTTTTGACATGCGTTTTTCTGGATTTTTTTGTTGTTATTCTGTCTCTCACTGTTCAAATGAACCTACAATTAAAATTATAGACTGATCATTTCTTCGTCAGTGGGCAAACGTACAAAATCAGCAGGGGATCAAATACTTTTTTTCCCTCACTGTATCATCCCTATAATGAACAGGTAAGTGTTGTTGAGGCTTTCTCTTCATCAGTGGGGCCTGTTTCCACTGGCCCCTAATGAGGTGCCGCAATCGCTGTCCGCTCGCACATCTCACAGGCGAGCTGCCTCTGGCCTCCACTAGCTTCTGACCACCGCCGCCGGCACTTAACTACCTGAAGGATGGGAGGAAAAATATTTTACGTCCGTGCCTAACGCCCTGACTTGTTTTTTGTGCGCGTGGTTATACTGCGAGTTTTGCTATTATTTGAAAAGACATTGCAGAGCTTTGCGGCACAACGGCAAAGAGCCGAAGCGAGGTGTACATAACCGCCCACCCCCACGCGTCACGGAGGGGTGCCGCCTCTCACCTCCTGCTTGGTGCCGGCGACCGGCCGCCGCGCTGGACGGGGCCGGGGCTCACGGTTGGCAGCGTCGCCCATGCCGCTGCTCAGGCTGCTGCGGCTCGTGGCCGCGCGGGGTTGTGTCCCCCGGGCCCTCGGCGTCACCGGCGCACGCGGCTAGAAAACGCGGCGCCATCGCAGGCGAGACAAGGGACACGGACGCAACGATCAGACAAATCCTCGCCACGGGGGAACCACACTAACGATGGATAGCTTTCGTGTAACCAAGTGCTCATCTCCATTGGTGGTCCAGGACCAAAAGTGGAAATTTCTCATTCCTATAATGGGGGCCAATTTGTTTTCCAATTGACGAACAGCAGGTTGACTTCCCACAAAAGTGGAACAGTGAAAACCCAATATAACTTTGTTAAGTGGATTGGCCAAACTGAATGTTAGATGCAGAAAAATGTTAATTAGTGGAACTTTGACCAGAAGTTGTATCAATGCGAACGCTTTGGTTGGACTTAAAAATTGGGACATTAAGTACAGGAAGTCTAGTGAGATTTCACTGTACTCAAATAGTAAATGTACATGTACACATCATTTTGTCAGTGTAGTGCTAGATGAATGTTTCCCCGCGCCATGTCGATCATGGGTGTTATGTAATCATACCTCACCACGTTGGTGTCAGTGTGAGTTTGCAGATATCACTCGCCACCGAGGTTAGCTTCGTTCAGGAATTAAACTTAGTTCGCTGGGTTCACAGTGCCATGCACAAATCACTACACCACAGCTCCACTACACTAATAATCACGAGTTATAACTTGGTTGGATTGACTGTGTTTAATAACTCACTTCAATGCTGTCAATTTCAACTTGTAAATCGCCACACTCTCGAAGACAAGCAGGAAAAGCAGCAGCTACGTACGTGGGGAGCTGCCACTACCAACAATTGCCCAAGCTCTGTGGTCCTCCATATATTAAGATGTTTAATGACAATTAATGTGCTTATACAAAAATACACGTGTGCAAGGTGGAAACACTCTATCTCGTACAGATGGAACCAGGTGGAGTCCACATTTTGCTGTACCGTTTTCTCCTGGCGAACCAGGAGAGACCTACCTCGAGACCTACAGGGAGTTTTACAAAATATGTGTGTGATTCACCAACCCTCGTTGCCTCAAGTGATGGATTACATGCAACGTGCATGTTTATATTTTTGTTTCATTTATGATGGGGTTTTTTCCACTGTTTAATATGGTTCCTGAAAAAAAAGTGTTGGCACTCTGAGACGTCTTAGAGGTAAATAAGAATTCAACATTTATAAAGATGGTGTTGATGATGGTGATTCATGCTGTAATATAATTAGCTGATTCAATTAATGCAGCTTGTGATGTTTAATGTGCTGCTTGTACATAGTAATATAGTCGCTCAAGACATACTCAAAGACTATAAAGTTAAATAATATAATTGCGGTATTATACAACGTGCATTATCAATATGCTCGACTGATAACCAGTAGTAGACTTTCCCTGTTATTGGCTTCAACGTCACACAATCCATGGGAAGACAAATCTTTGGTATTCATATTTTCTAGTTGGTGCCAAATGTAAGCTTTTTATCCAGTCTTTTTAATTCAACCATGATAATCTCAATGTATTTTACGTGTATTTATATTACAACTATATATTCATGTCCCTATAGTGCACAATAAAGAGACAATTTTGAGCAGTTGATGGATGAGAAATGAAAGCTACCTGCTCAAATGAGTGTGGGGCAGTGTTCACCTCTATTGGTGGCCCCAAGAGCTGTAAATTCCACATTATTATGGCAGGTGTCATCTTGTCGATAGAACAAGCAACTTGGACTTCCCATAAAGCAGTACTTATTTCCATGCACGGGTGATGGGCAGTCGACTCCTAAATTCTGGAATTTGAACTCAAATCCTTTATGAGTGTCTCACCGCAAAGCCACCTGACAATGCACAGAAATAAAACTCATGACTTAAACTTATTTTTATTTTATAATAATGTAACGTAATTGGCATTCACACAATTTCCATAGCACACAACGGCTATAGTGCAGGCTATACCTATGGTGTCTCATAGCTCTTGTCGGCCAGCAGGGGGCGATTATACATGGTGTTACAGGATTACATTATTTGCAGATAAGTTATTAAATCTGATAAATTTGGACTGGGGCACCAGCAATAGACGGCCTACTCTTTTACAAATAATATCCCGGGATTTTTTACCGTCCTCCACGAACCAGACGGCGTGCATTCTTTGCTCAATACACCCGGAGTGTTAAACCAGGACCATCGCTAAACATTGACCCTGTGCCACGAATGTGAAGCCGTCTCGGCGACGCCCGACGCCACCTCTGCTTTCGCCGTGGCGTGGTGATCCGCCGCCGCCGCCGCGCCGCTGTGCTGAGCCGTTCGGCGACCGCCGCGCAAAGCGGCGTCCCCTCCCGCCTTCCCATCATGCTCCGTGGCCGAAGGAGAGGCACGCGCCGGCCACATGGGCGTCCGCCTACGGGGGCGAGCGCAGGCACCGGCAGATGCATCGTGTCGTCGCTCGAGCGAGATGTACTCATGGCCGAAGGCGTTGATGCTACCACACCTAGCCAACGCTTTCGACCCTCTGCAAGATCCAGCAGCTTCTGGGATTTTGACACACCACCACCAGGATCTGCTCTGGCAGTATTCCACCTACTTGATCTTAGACCTCCCCCCTTGGTCGATGGACTTGTGGAGATTACTCCAATTGAAAACTCATTTCTTTGGAACTACTTTTTGTGTTTAGTTTGTTGTCCTTCCGCCGCACCTCCGTTGAGCAATATATGATGTATACTCTTTGGTTCTATTCGGTAAAGTAACGTAAAAGAATAAAACAACCAAAATTAAAAAATAAAAAATTCACGACGTTTCGGCCACAACACAAGTGGCCTTCAGGTGAAGGGACTAGACTGTCCTCGAGACAGTCTGGTCCCTTCACCTGATGAAGGCCACTTGTGTTGTGGCCGAAACGTCGTGAATTTTTATTTTTTTGTTTTATCCTTTTACGCAACTTTACCGAATAGAACCAAAGAGTATGGATTCTTGCAGTCACGAAAGCTTCAAATCTAGAATTATATATGATGTAGCCAGGTCGCTTCTGAAAAAGAGCTATATAGCTCAGTGGGCCTTACCTGGTAAAATATAAATAGTTTTAGTTTGAATAGTTTAGATTAAGCACGGTTCGCTAAGTATGGTGCGAAATAGGTTCAACATACATACACTGCGATGTTGGCCTCAGTAACCAGCCCTGCCCCATCCTTCGCAAATGTCCCACCCAGCGCAACCGTCTTTTGCCCAATCAAATATGCAACACTCACCTGCCATGTTTTCTTCCAGACATCCACAATGCTTAACCTATCTTGCCACGGAATTTCAATCATATGTCTCAGACACCTGTACTTTAATGTTGTAGGTATATTGAGAACTTTTTGTCAAGCATATTAATTCTACTCTATTCGGCAATATGTTCAAGCCAAATGCCAATGTCGACGTTAGCTCTCCACGAGAGGGCTTCAGGAGAGAGTTTGTGTCGTTTTGATATCCCTCCATTGAAGGAGTACAGACTACAGTGGTTTACTATCCAGTCCATGGTTTGTGTTGCATAGCCACAATGGCACTGTGGCTTAATTTTAATTGTCCATTCTTGAAGGTGACGTGGGCATTGGCCTGTTGATGTTCTGATCATCGTGTATTGAATTTTAGTTCTTCATCTTCTGGAGGGGTATAGTAATTCTCACCTTGATATCATCGCAATCTGCTGGACAGAATTGTCCTGCAACACCACGTGAGAAATGCAAAGCCATCCGTCTCAAAACACCTGCGCTCAGGCATCCGAGACGGAATGCTATCCCCAACCTTAACCCTTGGCTGGATGCACATCGCTGGACGCACATCGCCGGCAATTCTTGTAGAGACTCGGTGACGCCGTGATTCCGCGAATATACGAGACGTTTGTGTTTAGTGTTGTTGCCCCCCCCGCCCGCACCTCCAATTAGCACGGTTGGATACGTACGGTACTAAAGAAGTTCAACATACGTACACACACACGCACACTAGACGTACGGTACTAAAGAAGTTCAACATACGTACACACACACGCACACTAGACGTACGGTACTAAAGAAGTTCAACATACGTACACACACACACTATACGTACGACGCTAAAGAAGTTCAACATACGTACACACAGACTATACGTACGGTGCAACAGAAGTTCAACGTACGTACACACACACACTATACGTACGGTGCAACAGAAGTTCAACATACGTACACACACATACTATACCAAGTTCAACATACGTACACACACATACTATACGTACGGTGCAACAGAAGTTCAACATACGTACACACACACACACTATACGTACGGTGCAACAGAAGTTCAACATACGTACACACACATACTATACCAAGTTCAACATACGTACACACACTATACGTACGGTGCAACAGAAGTTCAACATACGTACACACACACTATACGTACGGTGCAACAGAAGTTCAACATACGTACACACACATACTATACCAAGTTCAACATACGTACACACACTATACGTACGGTGCAACAGAAGTTCAACGTACGTACACACACACACTATACATACGGTGCTAAAGAAGTTCAACACACACACACACACTATACGTACGGTGCTAAAGAAGTTCAACATACGTACACACACACACACTATACGTACGGTGCTAAAGAAGTTCAACGTACGTACACACACACACACTATACGTACGGGCGAGGCGTGCGCCCACCGTCGGGGCTGGCAGAGTCGCTCCGCTCGCTCGCCCCGTCCCCGCTGCCCACGTCCACCGCTCGCGAACCGAACGCGTCTGGGAGCGTCTTAAAGTTATTGTACCTGCCACGGCGAACAGTAACGATAAAACGCACGTGGTCTTGTTTAAAGGGAGCCGATTGGGCTTTGTATTGCTTTGCTCAGGAAATAAATATGCATATATATGTAAACATAAATTGTGATACTACCTTGGCAGTGGTGCATAGGGACAAATAGTAATGAAAAAATATATACATTACTCAATAACAATGTGGCCCTGAAAGGAAACTATTATATTAAAGGCAACGTTTCAGGCAATGCCCCTTCTTTCAATGCACACATTTCTTTATGCAGATTAATCCCTCAACAAACCGAGGCTCCCTTCACAGACTGGCTTAACAGCAAGCTCTAAATTTTACTTTACAGTTTAAAAGTTTTGCCATTTATAAATTGGCAGTTCTTTGCCACTGTCTGGAGAGTGCTGTGATTGGAGCATGTGATCCTCAATAACAAGATTGCAACTTCAAATAAAAGTTTTGGTGGATTCACTCAGCTCACAATCTGTCAATGGTGGATCAATGGAGCACCACTTTGTCAACAGTGGTTGTACCGTAGAGTGACTGGCCTCCGAAATGTGAATGTGGAATTTTCACATCTGAGATGAGATGATCAATGCCTCCACACTCGTTTGAGCAGTGCAACATTTTTTTATTTATTGGCAATGTATATATATAATTATGAATGGGACCTAAGACTGCCTTCACCAACATATATATGGACATTTGCCCATTTTTTATTTTTTCCAATTTGCTTAAAACAAAATTGCCAAATAATTGGAAAATACAATTTCCACCAACACAAATAGTCACTTCAGCTCTATTAAACCCGATTTTTTTTACTGCATTTCCATAACTATGGAAATTATTTTCCATATATATACGAACCAATAATGCTTCTTGCAATTATTCAGTCATACCGGTCTTGTCCGTAAGCCAACGAATAACTTTCTTGAGAGTGAAAATAATTTGAAAGCAGGCTTCACTCTGATCTCATAGAATTTTATATTTGGCTTGGTCCTTGTTTAAATCCTTTGTAAACCCAGATTTCAGCGCAGGCGTAAAAGGCCACGAGTTTTTCCACGTGATATTTTTGACATTTTGGACATTCTCCAGCATCGAGAATGACTGGCAAAAATCTCAAAAAAGAATCCAGTGCCCAAATCATCAAGGATTATGCTCATGCTTAAGGCAGGAGCCATCTCGAGCAACGGAAGATTTGTGTTGGCAAATAGTCCATGCAGCATCCGGCTCAAGGCTCTCAAACTGCTCATTAATCAACACTGGCTTGTGAGACCAGGTGAGCGAGGATCACTACTCCTGCAGTCCGTGCAGTGGAATTAGGCTGTGGGGAATCTGCAGTTTTGGATGCAGTGTCAATGCAGGTAGCATACATTGGGCACACACATGTACAGCGGTGACACTAGGCATAAGAAAACTAAGCAAAAGCTCAAGTCCCCAAGCAGTTCAAATGGCCCTCTCTACATAAAAAGAATATCGGTGAACCAAAAATCATCTCGAATTCAAATCCTTGTTAACATGGCAAATTAATTAACATGAAAAGTTGAATTAATAGCACCCATCCCTGTCTTGTCTGTACATTTTATCATCGATATCCACCATTCTCTCGTGTCTACATATCTCTATGCCTCTACATCTCTGTCTCATCTGTTTCTATCTTCTTGCATCTCACTACTATTGTTAAGATTTATACCATCTCACTACATCTCTATCTGTCATCTACATCTCTCCGCCAATGTTTTTTTTAAATCATAATTTCTGCTTAGGGATGTGAATTAGCCGGGAATGGGGTGGTAGGTGGGGGGTGTTCTGGAAGGCGTGTTAATCGTCCTTAGCAGTTTGGACAAGAGCGATGTCTCGTGTGTGGTGATGTGCGGTGATGTGTGATGTGTGGTGTTTGGGCCATGACAGTTGACGAGCAGTGGCGCCGTCTTCGCTATGTTGCAGAGGGGTTCACGGTTAGGGCCTCACGGCCACCCTCGTTAATACCGCGGGTGTATTAACCACAATACACATATGTCATGTCCGCTTCACGGTGGACGATTCATTTTCCATTCCGTGACTTATGTAAAAAAAAATTGACTCGTAAATTACCAGTTTGAGAAACGCACATCATTAACATTGCCCCCGTACTGTGAAACGGCTACGGACTGTGTCTCTGAAACACAGCGACTTGCTGATAGCCACGTGCGCCCTAAGAGCGGCGCGAAAACCAAATGCACTTTGCCATTTCGATTTGAAAACTGGAGTGTGTGAGTCTTCTGGTGCTGCACAGCTCACTGGCCAAGGAGACGTGCGTATTCAATCTCGGCTCGTTCCCTCTTTGAGGTCAGGGGTGCCGGAAGTCCCGGCAGGGCCCCTGGGCTGTCGCTGTCTCCGTTCAGCGAGCTCAGCTCCATGCTCAGCGCCCCACGGTGCTGAGTGGCATCTGGCAGTGGGCTCTGGTGGAGACAGAGAGGATCAGCGGCTGTTGGCTGGCCATCGAACAAAGACGGTCACCGCATCGCGTGCTTTCAAATTCGCTTCTGCGGCCGTCTGGTACGCTCTTCCTTCTGACATTAGGAAGCCACTCGGTGCTATGCACTTTTAAATCATCTAGATTAAAAAACCCATTTCTCCAGAACTGTTTTTTTGTGTTTAGTTTGTTTTCCTTCCCCTGCACCTCCGATTAGCATGGTTCAACATACATTCATCACGCAAGCAGACATCAGTGGCGGCCCGTCATTAGGCACCAGTGGGGCCATAGCCAACGAGAGAAAAAAAAGAAAGAAACGTACTACTCAACTATTTTTACTAGCTGTTAGCTCTTTTTCAGTGGTGACCTGGACACACATGATAGCTCGTCGAAGTGGCTGATATCATCTGATCATCATCATCATATGTGGTAATTTATAGTCGAAGCCAAAAAATATGAACACAGATTTCTAAATGTGGAGGGCAAAACTGGAGGACCCAGAAGATAAATCCACGTGACCACCAAAGAAAGAGAGATCACGCGAACTCTAAAAATACAGGGGTCAGGAATTGAACCCACACCTTCCTGCATACCAGGCGAGGAAGATAACATAAAACAAAAACTTTAACAATACTTAACTGCTGATTATAATCATCAAAAACACCATGCTACACCCCCTACTTTCACCATTCACCTCTCAAAACGATAGCTAACTCCAGGCTGTGAATGCTGACAGGCCATCGTAATTAACACAATTATTATTATTATTCATCATGATTGTTTAACCAGGTGAGCTTCACTCACCGGGTCAAAACTATTTCAGCAGGGTACCGCACAGTTCTCATAGTAGGGGGCGATATTTATTGTGATATTGTGATATTTGGCCAGTACCAATTATATTGTGTTTTTTGTTTTTTGTTTCGCTAATGGCTCAGACTAATACCTCAAGACCGTTCACGCTTGTGGACATACGTGAGGGTACGGAGTCTGTGGGGTGGGCGATGGGGCGAGAGCCGATGGCGCGATTGGCAGGAGGAGCGTGTCATCGTCCCCAAACTGCAACGGCGTCCTCGGAGTTTCATTCATGCACTCGGAAATCTCCTCCAGCTGCATGCCCAACTGGAATATGGCACTCTCCAACAGCCTGTAACACCACAGACGATTTGATAAAAATGCACCCAATGTAAATTGAGCCACACACGTTATATCGAAGGCGCTTGACAATACAAGTGAGGTTTTTCTGTGTTGGGCCTCGTGGTGAGCATTTTTATTTTAACTCACCTCCTGAAGAAGCCCACCGCAGCAGTGCTTGGTGATAAGAAATGCTCAACACGCAGCCAAACCCAGAAAACCTTACGAGTACAAAAATAGATGGAAAAACTATACCACATATACTACACGTAAATTAAAAAAAAGCTACAGGTTCACCAAAACATCCTGGAAAGTAGTATGCTTGGAGTAAGTTGGAAGAGACAGGTTAAAGAATACATAAATAAACAGTTATATAAATAAGGGAAAGAACAGGGGTCGCAAATTCTGTCTTTAAAGCAAAGGAAATCGAGCGCTAATGGTCACGGTGTATCATGAGAACAGCTGACGAGAGACAAGAGACAAAAATCTACTCGGGGAGTGGAGACCGAAAGAAGGAAAGAGAAGCAGAGAGAGCGAGAGAGAGAGACAGCGGAAGGGAGAGCAGCAGCAGCAGCAGCCAGAAGACATCACAGAGTTCGGGGGGTCACAATTGGACAAGACCGCTGTGAAAAGGGGGGAATGGAAGCCAGTGGGGAAGATCTTTGCCCAGCAGTTACGGGATGACAACTACAACAACAAACTATCCTGGGCCGACATGTACAGAAAGCAATGGAGTGATGTGTGACAGGAAGGTTGAAGGGGAACATTTATGGCAGTGTAATAAAACCTGTCTTTACATGGACGTCTGGATGTTGGACTCTAGAAAGGAGATGGATGATGAGCAGTCACAAAAAATGAAAGATGATATAGAGCTCAGGAATGACAACATTTGACTTAGGTCAGATTTATGGAGAGATGAGGAAGAAGACAATAGAGGTTCCCATCTCAGACAAGCTGAAAGAAAGTCAACTCGCATGACTGAAACATGCCATCAGAGAGAGAGGACAAACAACCAACATAATCAAACCCAGAATCTGAAGAGTGCCAGCTCAGCGCTCTGACCTCTGCGCCACCCTTCCGACTCGAGTGCTGAATTTTCAAATGTAAAGAATATTAAAAGCGTGGGGTGAGGTAGTGCGCTCTTGCTGGCTGCATCACAGAACCTGTTGGCATCGAATTCTCCGCCGCCGGCTGAGTTTCTCTGGGCCATCTGGTGCTGCTGCTTGGCGGCCATGTAGCCACGCTCCAGGACATCCTGACCCTCGCGGAGCCGCTGGTAAGTCTGTGGGGGTACATGCAAATAAAGACAAAGATCCCCCGTGTAGCCTTAACAGACTGTTGGGGCAAGTGCTGTTAGCGAGCACCTATGAAGGCCGGCACAACACACGAGGGGGTGGGTGGCCAGCACCACGCCCGGCCGCCGTTGTTTCCCCAGTGGCGATGTTTACAAACCGCATCAGGTACTAATCTGAGGCTGAGTCGACCTAGGAGGAGGGGGGGGGGGCAGGACCAGTTAAGATATTTGTCACTGGTGTTGGCCATGAGCGGGAATCGAACTTGGGTCGCCGAGTTCACAGCACAGCGCACTAACCACTCAACTACCGCTCCCGACACACAAACACGTACACACACACACACGTACATCTCACTACACACCTTAATTAAACTTCCTCTGTTAGCGTCATTCAATAAGGTCACAACTTGGCACAATATTTGTTTAGGCACCCAATGCATCAGCAGTGAACTGAATATACCCTGACTTGTTGACGCCACTTCATTGCAGCTAAGTTTGTTATCTCAGTTCAGGATATCCAGTGCAACGAGTGTAGGTTTGGTTGCTACCTGTCCTGGTTGTCCCAGGACATCCTATTGTTGAGGCAGCTGTCCTGGGATATCTGTAAGTCTCAGCGGTATCAGTTGCATAACAATAAGTCAGGCTCTCCCCTCTTTCAGTATTGTTAGATATTGTTCGTTGCATGATATGCCCTGGTTTTTATATTAACCCATAAGTCAGAGTCAAAATGTACATCTGCTCAAATGAATGAAGTGATCGTGCTCATGTCTGTTGGTGGTACTAAGCACGTGGTGGAAATGTTACATTACTGTGGCCCGGGATAGTTTTTATAAAGAAATACCACAATTCATTTCCCAAAAAGTTGTATTAGTTTTCTAAACGTGGGATAATGATGGGCTTAGGCAACCATCGACCAGGATTTTATCTCACTCATTGGAGTGCTTGGTCAATTTTATTAACGATTGTTTGGTTTAATGTCGGCGGAAACTGGAGAACCCAGTCCAAACCGACACATACGGGGAGGTAACACACTCAAACCTCCGCACAGATAGATTCCAGAATCCATTGTTGGACTGCAATCTCCTCGTCAACTTGTAGCCTAAACAATGCAACACCAAGTAGTTTCTCATCCACGCGCTAATCAGGCTCGAACCTGCTTAGCTTCTGAGAGCTAACGTGATGTCGGAGCAGTGATGGACAGTGATTCGGTCATTTCGCATGTACCTGAAACTGCTCCTGTTGGGTCACTTGTCCAGCTTTCTGCATCCTTTGGAAGATGTCCACCTGCCATGGCAGCAGAGAAAGAGACAGTATTGTGGTTATTGCACGTGTAAATACCAGTGGTATGATTACTCGGGTAAGGATGGTCTTCAGTGGTGGCTTATGGGCAAGTATATTGGTAAGGCACAGAAGCCTATGGGGGTGGGGGAAGTGGGAAGGTACGAGGAGGAGGGGCGAGGGGGGGATAATCTTTATATTGAGCAAATAATAATTAATATTATTCTTCAGGTTTCTTTCATCACTTGTGTGGCCTGGCTGCTCATGATGAGCCGGCACATATGACGGCACATTTTACACGAATATTTGTACAGCAAAACAAAGTGATGTGAACGCAGACAGAATTGCAAATATAAAAGTTTAGTTCACGTTTACTTTGTTGAACCGGGTGAGAACTCAAAAGGCCAGGGTTAGCCACATTTGCGAGAGTGACTCTGGGGCATTAGTCTGCCAGTAGGGGGCGATGCTCGCCATGCCTATTTCCAATTTAGTAATTTGAGGGAAACTTGCGAATGTGTCAAATTTGGACCCTGACACCGGCACACGATGACCTATTCTTGTGAATGACGCCAAGGGACATTTGACGTCCACTGTGAATCAGCCAGCACATATTGGCACTTGTGTATTGCTGCATTAGTATAGTGATACTGGGTAGGCCTTCGCGGTTGTGCTGCACAGCTCTCTGAGAACACACAGTGCAACCCGAAAACGCGTCTTAGAGATAGTAACATCGTAGTTGTAAGATTGCCAGAATCAGAACATTTACTTATACTGGAGGAATCCGATGTTGCTATACAGCTCTTCTTCACGGATGTCCAGAAAGGGCAGGTCAGCAGTGACTTAGGGCATGTGCTTGAAGGCTGCATTGCTAAGTAACGGAACGTTTTGCATCATGTTGGTGTGTTTATATTTGTGGTTACTGCGCAGTGTATTTAATAAGCGTACACCTCCCGCCTCCCCCACCACCCTTCCCCAGTGACTTAATGAAATGTCAGCATTCAAAGATGCTAGTCAATAATCAGTAGAGCAGTGGCACAGTGTTTAGCGGCTAGTGCTAAGATCACTGTTAACTGGGCATGAGTACTTCTCTTCACGAACCCACAATAACCAGCATGGTGAAGCATGGTCAAGTAACCCCCAAAAATGACCAACCCAGCAAGGGGAGGCCTTCATCTGCAATTTATTTGTGGATTTTTATTCACCAATATATTTTTTCGTACCGTGCTTTAAACATATCTCTATCTATCTGGTTATCGCTAAGAGCTGTTTTGTTCAGCCACGGCAGTGGGCACATCGTGGCAAGAGTCACAAGATTGTCTCAACACAGCCGGATTGATGTCTCCTCTCGAATACTTTTCCCAGCAGCGTGTACGCCATGTGGAAAGTTGCGCCAAAGGGCACGATTGTATTTTACAACAAAGGCCCAGTGAGATGACGTGAGATGAATCTTGAGATACATCCAACGCGTCAACAGCTCATTGTACAATTTCATTTCGCCTCTCTGCGGGGTCTGCTCAAACATTGTGAAATTGCTTATAAATCCCCCTGCTCGGCTAAAAGCATGTGCATACGTTACGCCTTTCAATCACTTCCTCATGCGCGATGTATTCCCTGCACATAATGCACATGTAGAGCCCTTTGTGTGCGACCCGCTGCTTCATGAGGGCATCCTCACACCATAGGTCATGGGAGTTATTCGATCATACTTCACAACGCTGGTCAGTGCAGGTTGGTGAAGGCGGTGAGCGTAAACGTGGGGGAGCAATATACATCACATAAAAGTACGTCAACTTTAGGTGTATTTTTTTGTTTTACTAGGTGAGGACTCGAGAGAGCAACACGATTCTCATTTGCAAGAAGTGACTTGGGGCATCGTTCTGCCAGCAGGGGGCGTTGATCGCTACGCGTAATCCCAATTTGAGTAAATTGCGGTTAATTTTCGAATTGGGGAAATGTAGATCCCGACACCAATGGCCTACTGATGCGAATTACGTCAAGGCATCTTTCACGTGCACTGTGAGTGAAGCAGAAGGCATGCAGCAATATCAAGTTTATTACACCCACAGTATTAATCAGGGCAGCCACTGGATTCAAACCGTGAAACTGCAACAAGTGGCGAACGCGCTACGGCTCGGCCACATCACCGCCTTATACTTACAGCATTGAGTTTGTCAGTATTGCTCTCTGCTGCCTGCCACATATTCTAAACGAAAAAAAAAGTTTTTCCAGGAAAAGCATACTGGCCACAGATTGTTGCTCAAAGAAATGGATCATCATGTGGAAATGTATAGCAGCAGAATACTCTAAACGCATGTTTCTAAACGTGGAAGGAAACACTTAGAGGACCTGGAGAAAAATCCACGCGACCACGGGTAAAACATATATATGTCATGGTTGGAATAGAACCTACGACCTCCTCTATACCAGGTACCGTGGCTCCCATAGTATATACACAAGCTCGAGGCTTGAAATTGTATCATGTGTAAAATATTGCATATATTGTAGATAATGTTATCATAAACATCGCCATTTACATCTGCAGCACAGCATGCCAGCTGGCTAGGAAATTGCAAATGATTTCTTTACATTTATTTAGCTTGTGTGCAGTACAGCAATAGATTGAATATATATTACATGCGCAGAGCTTTGAGCGATATTCCATTGTATGTGTGTGTGTTTTCTCTGAGTATGCCCCTGTTCCTCCCTCGTGCCATATGCTCATGAATGAAATTGGCCAAATATCCCAATGCGGTACCCTCCCGAACAGGAGCCTTGAGACTCTGGGAGGCTTTAATGGGTAAATAAAAGTAATTCTTACTATTAGACTCTTGTGACTCGCATTGTCATCGCCCGGCCTATAAGCAGTTGTATAATTCATAGCACTGCCAGCACTGGTTAAATAAAATTAATGATCACTGAATATATTATCAACCATAGACTCTCAGCCAGGGTGGAGGGATATTGTAAGAACCTTAGCACAGCTAACTTAAGCATTTGGAAGCTCTAAAATTTAAAAAAGAAATCGATTTCTGGGCCATGGAGAGGCAAGGTCTGAAAGGCTGTAAAATAATGGCGATAACTTGAGCAAAGTAAATTCAAACGGCAATAAATAACATATCGTCATTATGTTCACACTGCTCGGCTTTGGAATCCCATTCTTTCAGCTCTTACCACGTTCGTATTATTATTGTTGTTGTTATTATGCTTGTTTATGTAGGAAAACATCTCTGAGTCTCAAAACTCTTTTTTCAGGAGGGTCCTGGCAACTTGGCAGGAGGGGATAATTGTGCAGCAATGTGTACTCCCAATTCGATCATTTGCTGGTATATTTTCAACATTGGGATGTTGCATTGCACGTTTTGTTTGAGCTATGGGAGACAACGGGAGAACCCGGAGGAAACCTAAGCACAACATGAAAACATTCAAACTCCACAGCGGAAGAGCAGGGGCAGCAAGATAGGGCAGTGAGAGTTCGGAGGCAACGACTGGGCAGACAGGGGGCTCATGGGGATGGATCACGACCTTCTTGAGACAAATACAATTGCTGTTTTATTTGTATTTATTGTTAGAAATACACTGAACGTGATTTTGCGTGTTATTCATGGAAGGGCCTCATTTAAAAAAAGCTTGACATTTCTGAATGACCTCCCTTTGGGAAGTTTCTACATCTGCCTCTGGGTGGCATCTAAAGCATTGATGATGATCGCTGTGCGTGCCGAGTGGCTCACCTGCTCCTTGAATTTCTTCACCTGCTTGGCCAGCTCTGTCTCCAGCTGAGAGGTGATGCTAGGAGCAAGGGAATCCAAGGGAGGCTGTGGGGCCCTGCCGAAAGTTCCAGTGCTGCCTTGTGCTCCGTGCTCATTCACGACCTCATGCTCTCCTGGCTGCGTGTAAGGAGCTGTCGGGAGTGTGTTTGTAAAAGAGCACGATTAATACACATTCTACTGGGTGCGATGTGTATTCGAGTTGCACTACATGTTGTTGTTCCACACGATGTCCAACGCTCCGTTCCCAGCAGGCGGAGTGAAACGTCAGCCGCTTTAGCCATAGCTCATATATTCTTTAGGTATAAAAAACTAAAATAATTCACAGCGGCAAAAACTTTGGTCCAAAACACTTATGGGATGATTGGGCCATTTGCCCCCTGGAAAAAAATGTTTTAAAAATTTAATGTAGATACAAAGTTTGGTCTCTTATGATATATTTAAGTGAGCATTTGCTGGGGGGTGGTGCACATCCTCTGTTAAGAGTCCCTGGATCATCATCATCAGCAGCAGCAGCAACAGCCATGATCAATCCACTGCTTGATGACCAGTAGCAGAACTTTTACAATCCTAGAGCAGGGACCAATCCATGCATATCACTGTTGTTGGCTTCCCACAAAGTGAAATTAATGATTTTGACACTGGAGCATCTTCATCAAGATATGAACAAAATACGTTCTGAATGTTACCCTGACACATTGCTAGACCATCACCTGGAAGGAAATTTAAACTCGGAAAAAAATGTCCCAAAATGAAAGGCTGTAAACGTATAACACCACCATTGCGGGCTGCTTTGCAAAGTGCAAAAGGTAAAGCTGCATCCCTACAATGCTTTTGCTCGGGCTGGCACAAACGGCCTCCACGAGATAGAGTTCTGGAGAGCCCCTCTTGAGGGTATTTGGCCTACTATTCCACGCTGGACAGATATCTTGCAAGAGGTGGGAGGACGCAATTTTTACTCCACCACACACAACCTGCCGCTCGACTGCGGCGCAACCACTTATACTGCGGGGTGTGCGGAGGTGAGAGAATAAAAATAAAAACCTTGCACCACTGTTTGAACGACAACCTCTGTATTGCGAGTCCAGTGTGCTTGACATCACGGCAGCAGCCTTGTAATGTGCACTGAATATATGTATGTATATCTACAGGATGCTTAAAAAAAAAATGTTAACACTTCTGAGAATTTGCAACAATATCACGTGACATGTACTGCTGCCTCCGGGCGCTGGGGACCACCTGGAGAGGATTCCAGGCCACGTGTTGACAACGATGGCGAACACGTGGGAGACTCTTTGACTTTTGGAAGCTATTAACGTTACATTTGTTATCAAGTGTACTTTTTTCCATTAAAAACGATCGTCCCATATTAGTGTAAATTATGAAATAAAGCAGCCAAAAATATCCGACTCACCAAACTGTGCTGTCGAATGTGCCCATTCCGACGTCCCGGGATTGGTGTTATGCAGCATTGCTTGTTGAGAGTGTGGGAATTGTAAGGTCATGACCTGACTGGAATGGGGGAGCACTGTCTGTTGCACCACTTGTCTGGGCAAAGGACTATCCGAATACAGAGACACCTGTGATAGACAAAATGAAATGTGAATGAGTACATATCATCCCGAGCCACAGCGAACATAGCAAACCCCAGGGAAGCAGGGTAAGCTCTTGTACTCTATGTCAAATGCTCTGATAAATATTACACTATCATTCTTTGATACAACAAGCTCAATGATCCTATTTTCTAGCAAGACACCCGTGCAATTGAATCGTGAGGCTATCTTTTAGAATTAAGCCCCCTTTTCCCGACATTCTTCTGCTGTGTTTATAACAGCAATCCAAAATCACTAATGACAACTATAAAACCACGTGTAACCACTTTAAATGTATCACTTAAATAAATTACCATACAACACAGACAACATGTGTAGCAGAGACTTGAATCGGCACACATTTGATCGGTGTACAGTCAACGTTATTTTTTTTTTTGCAGAGACCTTTGCTCCAAGTCGTAGCTGGTCAATGGTGTTTTCAGCCTCAGCATACTTAGTCAGTAACCGGTCATAATCTTCCTGCAGAATAAATAATATATATTAACATTGAAAAAAAGAAAAATAATCCATGGCCACTTACAACACCATCAATAATAATCACCACAAACATACCAACTAATTTTCCTTTAATCATCACATTCAATTATCCACTAAGGCTAACTGAATGTGGTAATAAATGCAAGCAGGATGGTTTTCTAAATATGCTTTTATTAGTTTTTGGCAAAAGGGATGCTGCCGTGGTATAATGGTTAGCACTCTGGACTTGGAATCCTTATATACGTCCCCAATTCAATTTCCCAGGCACGGAAGTTGATTACGATTGGAAAGATTTTTGAATCTCCCTGCATCTGTCCATCCAGCAGTATTAAATGGAAACGTATTTAATCATAAAGCATGATGCAGCACTGACATTTTTGAAGCTTGCTAAAATAATATATATTTAAAAAACAATCGCATTTGTAATTCTTCACTAGAGCTCTCACCTGCAACTGGTGCACCAAGTCTGTCGCGGGGTCAGAAGTGACAAGCCTTGAACTCTGACCTTCACACAACGGCGCAGCATCCGAATCCGCCAGGACCCTGCGCACGACATCAGCCGGCGACCGCGCAGATTTCGGTGTTTCAACCTCCCCATGTGACGCCCTTTTATTCTGGTAGACGTGGCCTTGCCTGGGAAAGTTAACCTTGGGCCCAACTTTGGACAAGTCGGGAAGTGGGTAATTCAGCTGCCTTTGAGACCGGCCGGGGCTAATGGAGCGGGAGGCCCGTGCATTGTGCGCGGTTCCGATAGGGCTCGGTGACCTGGAGCCAATTCTGCCGTTGGAAGCTGTTTTCGTGTGACCAGACCTCGAAGGGGACGCTCGCGAGCTCTGCGACCGATTCGCCGTCTTCGCGTGACCCCGCGGTACCACAGGCGACGGCTTTGAGCGCCTCGACCTGCCGGGTGTTTCCGTTACCATCTGCGGACCTGCCAGCATGGCGTTCGAGCTCGGCGATCTTGCAACGTGCTGATGGTCGTCCTGTGCACTGTAAATCACGTTCAGCCCATGGTCGGCCTTTAGCGGGCTTCTCTGCACGTACGTCCCTTTGTGCTGTGTGGACATCAGTCCAGTTGGCGTTTTGCCAACGCCGTGCCTATTTTTTGGCGAGTAGTCTGCGTCTCCCTCTAGCCATCTGTCCTGTTGCTTATTAATATGACGCAGCCTCGATGAGTGGTCGCTCCTTTGTGAGGGTTCGCTAACTCTGCTGTTTCTCTCATCCGCACTCTCCCCGTTCAAGTCCGGCATGATCTCGGCGGCGATGAAACTGCTCGGGTGGATCTCGTCGCGCTGAAACTCCTCCGACAGGCGATGCCTGTTCAAATCCATCCTCTCCCGAGGTGCGCCCGCCCAACGAAGCTCCGCACCGCCGTCCAGCTGGCCCGCACCCGCTGCTTCGCGCGCGCCCTCCAGGCTGTACGCACCCTGCACGTCCGAGTCTCTGGGAAAGTGCATGGTGTCCCCGAGCAGGTTCCCGGTGTTCCCGTACGCCTCCTCGGAGTTTTCAAAGTGCGACTCGTGCCCAGAGCCGAGGAAGTCCGCCGCGCCAGCATTGCGTGGTCCATCGGAGAAATCCTCACTGGCATCTAGGGTTTTGTTGTACACCTCCAGGAGGTGCTCCATCTCCTGCCACTGGGCCAGGCTGTCGTTCATGAGCGAGCGGTCGTACGGCAGGTCTGGCTGCTCCTCCGCGCTCCCCTGGGCGCCTCCCAGCGCGTCCTCCGCTTCCACAGACTCCTGCAACGACGGCTTCCGGCTGCCACCATGGCCGCCGGTGGTGTTCGAGCGTCTCCGCCGACTCGCCCATCGTTCTGCACAACAACATAATCGGCTTCACTCACCTGCTTCCGTTCCTCCCTCAAAACAACCCACTTCTTCTCCCTAGCCCAGGGGTCGGCGACCGGCGGCTCCGGAGCCATGTACAGCTCTTTAAGGACTGCTTCGTGACTTTATTTATCAAGGATCGTCTCGTATTCACTTGCATTGCCGCTTACCCCAATCACTACCCCTATCACTACCACTACTCCTACGCCAACCCCTCCTTAACCTCTCTCACCTGTTCTCCTAAGTGTCACCATAACTACACCACCACTTTGAATAACCCCCCTTTTTATCTCAACTACCATCGTCTTATGTACAATTGTATTATCGCTGTAAAGTGCCTTGGAACAAGGTGAGATAAAAAAATCTACGTAAGATAATAAAATAAAATAATTTGTACGTTTGGAATTTATGGTGCAAGGCCCACCTGAAAGTGCTGTTGAGTATGGTCTGCAATAGTTATATCCAGATCATCCTAATATTAATTGATGTTCTATATTGTTTTAAAATCCTTTTAAATGAGAATTTTTTAATAAGTTTAAATTGAGTTTTTCCATTTAAGGTTGGCCTATTTGATGTGAATCTTAAATAATTTAGACCACTTTGTTAATTCACTGCTGCATGAATACATTCCCCATTCCATGTCGGTCAAATATTATTTTACTAACAAAATACTCCGGTGGCATAAGTATCTCCACTGATGCGCGTTCATTTTACTGGCAAAGTAACTTTTGCCATAAAAAAATATACGTGCAATATCCAATGGTCACGAATGGACATGAGCACTGAAGCAAAGCAGCCATTTTGATTTGACCTTTGTTAGGCACCCAGGAACGTTCACTAACGGTCAAGGTGCAGCCCTGCCATTACTCGCTGATGTTACTACTGGCGGAAGGGCCTCCACTCAAGAGCATTTTGGTCTAATTCTCCACGCTGGCCAGACGTCTTGGAAGAGATTAGAGTAATAATAGGGTTTTTCCCCTTTTTTTTCTGGCAACAAAACTGAAACCTTTTAACAAGGATTCATGTCTGCATTAACCACAATACCTGCAGTCAAAATGCAAACAAAAAAACATACTATGATAATATATGCATTGTCCTTGAAACTGATTGGTCCACACCAAGGGACGGCTTTCTTTTGAGCCTCGACCCAATTGGTGCTCGACCAGATGACGCCAGAAGAAGTACGCCTTCTGGCGAGCACCAATTGGGTCGAGGCTCAAAAGAAAGCCGTCCCTTGGTGTGGACCAATCAGTTTCAAGGACGATGCATATATTATCATAGTATGTCTTTTGTTTGCATTTTGACTGCAGGTATTGTGGTTAATGCAGACATGAATCCTTGTTAAAAGGTTTCAGTTTTGTTGCCAGAAAAAAGGAGCAAAACCCTATTATTACATTTTGGTACTGGCAAAGGAGGTCTAATGATGTAGGTGAAAGTACCCACACTTTACCGCACCGCACGCAATCTGCAAATAAACGAACCGTGGTCTACCCAAAAAAAACCCTGGATGGACAGAAGTGGGGGTGGGGGCAATTTAAGAAACTAGCACCATTATTTCAACTGCCATGCCAGGAGACTAAACTGATGACCACTGGATTTCAAGTTTAGCGTGCTCGCCATTACACAGCATCCACAATGTAAATAAGTCAAAAACAAAACACTACGTTTTCCTCCACCCCACCCCCCTCCCCTTTAATTTCACACGTGGGGCTTACCATTCTGTGCAGGAGGGCCCCACGAATTTGCCGAGTCTGGGATGTCACTGGCCGTGAGGCTCGGCTCGTCGGTATAAAAGTCTCCGTCGTACCCATGCTTGGATGGGTCGCCATCTGGCAGCTCGTCACCAGGTGTATAAAATTCCTCAATGCCATCATCTCCCATGTCAAGCACCCTCTGTGTGAAACAAAGCATGTTTTTTTACGTGCCAAAACAGCAACAGTAACAACAGGATGCATGATGTATTGTGGCGAAATCCAGGCATGATATCTTTTTCACAATCAAATTAGAGATGAATGTTTCTCGTGTGCATGGAATGGCAACGGCAATTGCCTATGCCAATGGAAGCCAATTAATATCAAGCTGCGACGACCATAAAACGTGCATGACAATAAGGTGAGATGGCAATGAATGCTGAACAAAATCTCAGCACTTTAGATTTGCCTCTTTTCTCGTCTCATTTTCTCACCCGCGAAGAACACATGTGCCCTCTACTGGACAGAGTGGTAAATAAAAACGTGTTTTTTGCGAGGTGAGCTTGAATTTTGTTCAGCCAAAAAAAATCATCATTTAAATATCCAGTTTCACTAACATGCTCGGCACACTGCACTCACAGTGGATATTTCCACATGTACGGAACCTTTTGTCAGTCCACTGCTGGATGCGGACCTCACCACGCTGTCTGTGGGTCGTCGAGGTTATTTGACCATACTTCACCACACTGCTCAGGATTGGTTGGTGAAGGCAGGCAGCGAATACGTGATAACATCGAAGCACATTTCACCACATCGCAACAATGTATTTTGCCACACAGCCCTCTGCTGCCCACCACGTAGCTCAGCAGCAACCTGATGGCCCCCTGTTTGTACATGGTGGTGGTTGCCCATCCAAGCACCATCCACCAGCCTTCACACTACTTAGCTGCTGAGATACGCTGGGATTGGTGGTATTATGAATGGTTTGATCACAAGCAAATGGAATTTTATGAATTGGTAAATATATCAAATAACAACCTAAGAATATTGGTGTTTTATGAACTCGCTCCACTCTCTTCATACAGCTTAAAATGGAACTGTTCCCCTTATCACCTGCACACTACTCGCCATATCTGTGTTTATCTTACATTTGCACTGACGACACAGCTTGTCTGAATGCATGTTTTGTGTTTGTTTGATTGCGTCTTTCTCCACTTCTGCCCCTGGAGTATTGCTACACATTTGTACGTTTCAAGAAAATATTGCTCGAGGCGGAGGTGGGGGGGGGTACAACCAAACGGTAAGAATCGATTATTCTGGGATTGAATCCGTGGTAAGTGGCTTCGTCTACTTCATATCGTCTGGAATGCCTTTCCCCATCCCGCACAGTCCCTCCTTAACTCCAGGCTTAAGACCTTTCGTGTTTTTCTCTTTCGCATCTGACTAGTGAGATCTCCACTACACAACAACCTCACGCCCATTTTCCCAGCTCTCGTCTCCTCAACCCCCTTACCGATCATCGATGTTTCCCCTGGCGGTGTGGCCTCTCTACCATTAAAACGACCCACAGAAATTGGTCACAATGAGACCATTCATAAATACAACGCTTTATGGCACCCTAGTATTACGAGAACATTATGAATTATAAAATAATCGGGTCAAGCCCTGCAATCGTTTGCTCACACCATTGCTGGCAAAAACAGAATCCACTAGAGGGAACCCAAGAGAGCCCGTCAAGAACGTATTTTAGATTATTCTCCACCGCTGGTCCGTCATCTTGAAGATAGGTGGAAGAATCCACACTTGACTCCACAACACACCGCCAAATCAAACCGGGCGACCCCTGGATTGCGAGTCTGGTGTACCGACCATTGTACTAACCATTCCATTCCCTTCAAATAGCGGGGTGTGTTCCTTTTAAACAGCGGCGCGATCATTGAAATAACACGTGCATCCAATGTAAAGTAACAATTAGAAAGAAAGAAAAAAACCAACGCACGTTTTGATACTCAAATTCGTCGGGGAACTGCGCCATTCGGATGATGCCGTTCTCATCCATCTCCTCCAGGACGCTGCGTTCCACCTCAGCGTCAGACGACCGGGCAGACATCGCCGTCGCGTGCACAAGGGGCGCTCCGAATCCACCGCCGCTCTTTGTTATGGCAACGTTCGCCCCATGCCCAACGCGCCCCCGCGCTGTTCCAGTGGCGGCCCGCTCGAAGCACGTGGCTCAAGCAGAGCGCACAACAACTTCGTCTGTAAGAAAAGGAGGCACGGATTGAGACGCGTGGTGTCGTTTTGCAGAGCTAATGGTGCGGTCTGCGCACTGCGCTGACACGCCGGCCACCCGAGTTTGAATCCAAGGCGCAGCTCCTCACACCGGTGGCAGGTGATGATGTCCGCATATACCTTCACATCATTGTGGGCTGGCAAAGCGCCTGTAAATTATTATTAATAATATACGCGTCTGTTGCTCCCAGCAACCTGGACTCAATTCAAAACCAGGCACAACCTCAAGGGCAGGTGGCATCTAAATCTAGCTTGTTCTTCCCTTTGGTCAACTCAGCTTAAAATAAGTACGAGACACAGGAACAAATAATTGATTGGTTTGGGGAGGCCTTAATGATTTGGTGGATGGAGGATGGGTATATTTTTTGGTTTATATAATATACAGTTTCGCATCTGGAACTTTACACAACTGCATTGGGGGAGAGAGAGAAAGACAGTGATGACATAAAGTGATGAGAGAGAATGTGATGCGAGAAAGTGGTGAAATGAAGCGATGAAATAAAATTATTACGCGCAGCAGCATCATAATTTAAGGTAAGTTAATGTATAAAGCATGCTTCTTTCATATTTATTCAAATTTACGTTATGCTTATTCTAACCAATGTTGATGTATTTGTGTTATTACGGTAAATTGCATGTATTTAACAGCCTATGTATTTATTTAACTTAATTCATTCAAGATACGTTTAAAGAGGCCAATATCATTATCCGATAAATGTGCTGTGTTCACGAGCATCTCCGGAAGGTATCCGTCGCGAATAACCAGGGAAGTCTTCTTTGGTTCGTTCGGTAAAGTCACGTAGAATGAGAATAAAAGAATAAAATAACACAATAAAATTCTCACGACGTTTCGACCACAACGCAAGCGGCCGTCTTCAGGTGAAAGGAACAGACCTGTCTGGACGACAGAGCTTCAATGAACGATGTTAAGATTTGTAGCGACTTTTAAGCTGGTTGGGAGAAGTGAGGCACCTTGACAAAAGGGGTTTACATATCAAATAGCTCAGGGATTAGCTTGTGACTGGTCACAGAAACGGCTATGTTAAAGTCAAAACCTACACAACCAGGGAAGTGTCGTGTAGAAAATGCATGGGGCATACACGCCACTGCGGCCATAAAACGAACGCCCCATATATCTGTGTAAACTCAAGCTGCAGTATAACCCCAGTGCGGCCACTTCAACGGGCCAGCCCCCAGGAAAGACCGTCCAATAGCTTAACATCCCCCAATCCCCGAATGTCGGTGGCTTTCTTTTACCAGCGTGTTATAGTAACGTATTCTGTGTGCATCCCCCTTTCTAAAATGAGGACTATACAACTTGGTACGCGTGTTTAGTCGGGAGACACCGACAGTCCTCCTCTGATGAATTGTCATGATGCTGATTAGATTTTGATGAAGCAAATTAGATTTTGCTTCATCATTTGTTTTTCGTTGCTCTGTGTGCCTTGTTTGCACGGATGTGTTCACTCCGTGAGCCGCAATGTAACGTGAGCATATCACATGTGATTTTCATATTTACATAATCCATTCTATGCATTTACGATACCCATACATATTATATGCATGCATGTTGAGTGTAAGATAGTACCTTAATTGATTAAAGTTACTCTTTGGTTCTTTCGGTAAAGTCACGTAGAAAGAAAATAAATTAAATAATGGAATGCGACGTTTCGATTGCAACGCAAGCAGTCGTCATCAGGTAGAACTGAATTTGAGAGAGAGACAAAACACAGACACGGAGACACACAGACAGACACACAAGCAGAGAGAGACAACACAGAGACACACAGAGAGAGAGAGACACACAACATAGACACACAGAGAGACACACAAGCAGAGAGAGACAACACAGAGACACACAGAGAGAGACACAACATAGACACACAGAGACCCAATGCCTTTATGTCGTGGCCTTAAATAGAGAGAGGGGGAGGCAGAGAGAGAGAGAGGTGGGTGTGCTGGAGCAGAGAAATTAGCATGTCAATGAGAGAGTTGTGTGGAAATCCACCCCTAAGCGGCAGGGGGAGAGTAAGAACGAATGGACCTATGAGAGCCTGGTAAATTTTAGAGAGAGAAATCGGCAGTTTTAGAAAACAAACTATTTCTTTGGAGTACTCCGGTGTTTACAAATTGAGTTGTATCTGCGGTGACTGCTATATCGGGGAGACGAAACGACATATTTATGGCCGAATTCGCGAGCACAAATCAGATTTGAAACACGGCAGAACGAATTCTTCGGCCGTGGCTGATCATTGTCTCAACACAGCGGGTTCTCATGACATTGTTTTCTCCGATACCAAAGTACTATGCAAACCTCCCGGTTATTACCAAAGATTTGTCCATGAAGCCATCCAGATATACAAACATAGACACAACTTCAACCGAGAGGATGGTTTTAAATTAAGCAACCACTGGAAAGATGTCATAAACCAAGTCAAAATTTCAGCTACCTTATAAGCGTACAGCCTTTTTACCATTTTCTCATTGCCCCCGTGCAGTGAACCACCGCTTCCCCCGAACCCTCAACATAACAAAAGACGGATTAACTTGGCCCCGCACGCTATCATCGCTCCCTGCTTGGCTCCTCCCCCCCACCTTAACCTTAGCCCCGCACGCTATCATCGCTCCCTGCTTGGCTCCTCCCCCCCACCTTAACCTTAGCCCCGCACGCCGTCGTGGCTCCCTGCTTGGCTCCTCCCCCCCCCTTAACCTTAGCCCCGCACGCCGTCGTGGCTCCCTGCTTGGCTCCTCCCCCCCACCTAAACCTTAGCCCCGCACGCCGGCGTGGCTCCCTGCTTGGCTCCTCCCCCCCCACCTTAACCTGTATATAAGCTCGTGTGTCTCAGAGCTCCCCACTTGATGCAGCGATCTTGCTGTGACTGTTCCACCTGAAGACGGAAGCTTGTGTTGCCTCCGAAACGTCGTGATTTGATTTAGTTGTTTTCTTTTATTTTAATTTTATTTTACCTATGTGACTTTACCTAAAAAAACAAAGGGTATGCTTCAAATCAAGTTTGATTAAAGTTACTACTAATTGGTATGGCGATATGAAAAGTTTTAAAACACTCACATTATGTGGTCTAAAGAGCTAATATTCATAACCATAATTAAATGCAACGTGACAGTGTAGTACAATAAACTACCGTCATTATGAATAATTCTCCACTCGATAGCATTCTTTTAATGCTTCCATTTTGACTGAAAGAATGTTGTCAGCCCATGTGTCAGCAATGGCTTGCGCTTTTAATTGCACACACAAACTTCTGCATTGTACTTCCCGCGACCCCGCCTGATGATGCATCGGATGCAATTTATTTCAACAAACGGTAATTAACAGCGAATCCACAAGAGGCTTGTTTTGCCATGAAGATGTTAACAACAAATGCAATAATGTGTACACACGCAGATACCCTGTCTCCCCGTAGAATTAAACTCACTTTAAACAAACCAGACCCATCCTATTGCTGCCGATTAAACAGAATCGCATTTAATGATTTGTCAATCGAAATTAGTATAGCAGCATTGCATTGCCCAACACAATAATAACGGTGAATATAGTTACGGGTCTATGTATGGTAGATAATCCCCTCATGGTTTAGCACTTCAACTCGTGTGTATAAAATAGCAAATAAGTGGCATAACACTTACGCACAAATAAATTACACTTTTGGCAAGCTAAATAATCACATAAACAGAATTCTAAAATGTTTCAGTTTTAATCGGCTAAAAGTGAATGATGCATATTCATTTGGACTTTTTTGCGATGCATTGTGTATTAAATGGATAGAGTACTTGACAGGTTTGTGTAAAGTATAAATGTAAAATAATAATGCACAGCTCTTTGATAATCCACTTCTAGGTTAAGGCACCCACCCATGCTATCTCGGTTATGGAGATTGTTGACTATAAACTTACGTACACTATTTTTTTATTTTACCAGGTAAGGCCCACTGAGTTTATGTACTGTCGCCCTTTTTTATAAGTGACCTGGCCACAAATGATACAGTGAGGGAAAAAGTATTTGATCCCCTGCTGATTTTGTACGTTTGCCCACTGACAAAGAAATTATCAGTCTATAATTTTAATGGTAGGTTTATTTGAACAGTGAGAGACAGAATAACAACAAGAAAATCCAGAAAAACGCATGTCAAAAATTGTATAAATTGATTTGCATTTTAATGAGTGAAATAAGTATTTGACCCCCTCTCAATCAGAAAGATTTCTGGCTCCCAGGTATCTTTTATACAGGTAACGAGCTGAGATTAGGAGCACACTCTTAAAGGGAGTGCTCCTAATCTCAGCTTGTTACCTGTATAAATGACCCCTGTCCACAGAAGCAATCAATCAATCAGATTCCAAACTCTCCACCATGGCCAAGACCAAAAAGCTCTCCAAGGATGTCAGGGACAAGATTGTAGACCTAAACAAGGCTGGAATGGGCTACAATACCATTGCCAAGCAGCTTGGTGAGAAGGTGACAACAGTTGGTGCGATTATTCGCAAATGGAAGAAACACAAAAGAATTGTCAATCTCCCTCGGCCTGGGGCTCCATGCAAGATCTCACCTCGTGGAGTTGCAATGATCATGAGAACGGTGTGGAATCACCCCGGAACTACACGGGAGGATCTTGTCAATGATCTCAAGGCAGCTGGGAATAATAGTCACCAAGAAAATAATTGGTAACACACTACGCCATGAAGGATTGAAATCCTGCAGCGCCCGCAAGGTCCCCCTGCTCAAGAAAGCACATACAGGTATACATACCCGTCTGAAGTTTGTCAATGAACATCTGAATGATTCAGAGGACAACTTGGTGAAAGTGTTGTGGTAAGATGAGACCAAAATGAAGCTCTTTGGCATCAACTCAACTCGCCGTGTTTGGAGGAGGAGGAATGCTGCCTATGACCCCAAGAACGCCATCCCCACCGTCAAACATGGAGGTGGAAACATTATGCTTTGGCGGTGT